TAAAAGGTCTAGCAGAGGAGAGCTTCCCAGCTGGTGAGCTTGTGAGATCTAGGGAATAATGCTGCACCTGGAGAGCAGGTAGAAGCTTGGAGACTTTTCCCCATACCTTGCCTTGTGCATCTTTTCCATCTGGCTATTCTTGGGTTATATCATTTGTCATAAATCAATGTTCTAGTGAGTAAACTGATTTCCTAAGTTCTGTGAATCGCTCTAGAAAATTAATCAAATGTGAAGAGATTGTCTATCAAATCTCTGATCTATAGTTAGTTGGTTAGAAGTAAAGGTAGGTGCCTGAGTTTGCCACTTCCGTCTGAAGTGGAGGGCAGTCTTTGGAGATTGATCCTTAACTTGTGCAATCTGATGCTGTCTCCAGGTAGACAGTGTCAGAATTGAGATGAATTTTCAGTCACCCTGCTGGTATCTGAGAACTGCTTGTGGGTGTGGGGCAGGGATCCTCTATCCACTCCCACTTTGCAACTGAGCTGCAGGATATCACCAAAACAGTCACTTTGGATAACAATTTGGCATTTCTTATAATGTTAAGCATAAATTTATCATGCTACCCAGCAATTCCACTCCTAAGTATCTCAAGAGAAACGTACATGTATCCATCAAGTCTTATACCCAGTCTTTCCAACTGTTATTTATATATTCCAAAAAAACTATCTTTTTATCTATGATAGTCTTTAAAATTATTTAACTTTTCCCTTATCATTTCAGCTCTGCAACAATTTTTTTAACTTCCAGGCAATTTTTAACAAGTTGTGAAAATGAATTCTGAGAAGTTTGATTCATACACTGTAATCTATATAATCAAGATGACAATTTTGATAATGAGTTTCTTTCATTACCAGATAACCCAACGAACGAGTTGATGTAATCAGGCAAAATGAATGATCTAATGTGTCAGGCCGTAATACTACTTTACAAAGCTGTAATGATTCTAAAGCTCCCTAAGTCTGCTGAAGAAATAAAAATACCACCTGTCAAATAAAATGATTTATACAGTCTCTGGTATGTACATTATAAATCATTGTCTAACTCCGTCATGATACCCACTTTCCCATCTGAGCTTTTTAACTCTTTTTTTGCCTTTTTTACATAAAGAAAAAGAATTTACATTGATCTTCACTAGACCATTTTTTCCTGTTCAAAAAGTTCCAAACAAAACTCTTTTCTCAAGTCTCAGTAACAAAGAATTCCTTCAACACCTATTGCCCAAAACATATAATTTTAGACAAATAATCTCTCTCTGTAACGAATTTACCCTTGTTAAAAGAGAGATTATGAAAGACATACATCGACAGCTTCTCTCTCCATCAATGACTAAGTACTTTCCTGATTATTTGCTATCCCTCCATTTGTTGTCCCATTCCCTGGTCTCATGGGTGACTTTCAGAGGTACCTGGCTCAGGTTGTTTTCATCCACAGAGGCACCGATGGTAGGTCATGTTCCATCATTGTTCACATTCAATCTATGGTTTATGCACCTTAAAATTAAAAATATATATATTTATAAATATAAATGCAAATATTTAATCTCACACCAGTCTTCAGGTTTCTGTTTCATTCCAAGCACCTTCTTTCCCATATATTTCTGAATTTAGAGAAAATTAGTGACAAATAAATTATTTATAAAATATTAAAAATTAACATAAAAATATGTTCATCAGAGTGTCTATAGGTAGACTGTGGAAGAAGCCAACTCTTATCTGGTCCAATAGGGTCTATTTAAATTAAAAATTAAATTAACAAATTCAACATTGAACACCTATTACACTTAACAGGCTCTGGATATTTGGGGACAAATAAAGAAAGGCTTTCACCTTCAAAGAGTTCCTAAGCTGTTAGAAGAGAATGAATCATACTACACATAATTTAAATCAGATTGGGATAAGTACCACATTAAAAACAAAAAGTTTGGAAATAGAAGTTGCCCCACAAAATAACAGATTTTAAAAAGTTGATAAAAGAGAGTAATGCTGGGCCTCTCCTGGTGGTGCAGCAGTTGAGCGCTGGGCTGCGAAGCTGCCCACAGCCTCTGCAGCGCTGGTTCGATCCCTGGCTACCGGCGAGGGTCCCACAAGGCGTGACAGACCTCTCCTGCCATTCGCTGCTCCCCTCAGCAGTGTATTTCTTCGTCAGTCTGCCTGCTCTGTTCCCCGCTCTGGCTCTGGTGAATTCTCTCACCCTCCCGCACTTCTGACTCTGCCCAGTGCTTGTATAAATAAATAAATAAACAAACAAACAAACAAACAAATAAATAAATAAATCTTTAAAAAAAAGAGAGAGTAATGCTTCAACTGAAACAAAATGGAGAGGGGGATAGCATTAGAATCCTGAGGAAGAGCTGAATAAGGTGAGTTGTAGTGCAGCTGTAGATGGGCTAAGTGAGGACATACTGGAAGACCAGGCTGAAATCGGATTATGATACTACTACTATATTGAACATTTACTACTTGCCAAGTACTATTTGAAGAAATTTGCATATATTAACTTATTTGATCCTTACAACAAACCTATGAGGAATGTTCTATCATGATTTCCATCTCATAGATGATGAAACTGAGATTAGAATGGTTAAGTAACTTGGGGTCAGGAGCTTAACATCTACAAATAATAAAAGAATAACAAATTCTGTCCCGCCCCCAACTAAACTCATCGTAAGAGCAATTAAAAGGTGTCTTAACTACCCATTCACTCATTAATTCCTAGGCTATCTTTCAAGGCCTAGCTAAAATGCTTCCTTCTTTACATAACAATTCTTGGTCCCCCCCAACCACCATCCCAAGTGAACAATATTTCTTTCTCCTCTAAGCTTCATAGCATTTAATTTGTATCAATCTATGGCAAACACTCTGTGTGAACTAGACCTTACTAATATTTTGTTCCTGCCATTACCAGTTTTAAGTGCATCATTTTCTTTTTTTTAATTCTCCTTTAGTCTGATATACTTTCTATTCACTACAACTCCTAAGAAGGTGCCTGACATATAATGCTAGCAAATCTATGAAGCACTTATTTATACTAAGTATTTTATAGGAATTCTCTCATAAAATCTTTACAGTCACCCAATTCATGCATTCACCATCTAATTTTATTTTTTATTTTTCTCCCCACCACCATCCCTTGTAACTCCATCTGTTCCTCCCTCCCCTTCCCTCTTATCCTGAGCCTTCACTACTTCTACTAATGTCGGCTAGGTTTTGTATTTTACTTTGTCAAATTGCCTAGTACGTAAATATCCAATATTATTGTCATTCTGACTTGCTTTATTAGGCATAATTCCCTCAGACCCCCTCCATTTTGCTGTAATGACCACATTCCATCTTGCCTTATGGCTGAGTAGTATTCCATAGAGTACATATACCACATCATTTTGATCCAGTCTCCTGCAGATGGGCATTAGGCTTCTTTCCTAGCTATTGTAAATAATGCTGTGCCAACAGCTATTTTTAGAACCTGCTGTGACAGATAAAATACTTGATGGACCTTAACTTCAGTAATTAAGACAGATACATGGCTTCTACCCTCAAGCAGCTCAGAATCTGGGGAGGTTGGTACTATTAGTCTTCCCCAGTATAGAGACAGGAAAAGGGATGCTCAAGAAGTTGAGTAATGTTTGCCCAGAATCACGCAGCAAAAAAAGCGGGGGAGCTAGAATTCTAATCGAGCTATCTGGACTGGATATTCGGAACCCTGTGCTTTCAACCCCTATGTTCTAAAGGTACTTGATAAACTTACTGAAGAAAACGTTTTTAAATATTCCTACAACGAAAAATTTTCCGTAACTTCAGTAAAATGAAAGCAGAAAATGAACAAAAGTGCAAATGGAAGTTGTCGCCTCTTAATACACTCTTGGTAGCTCAGAGCAGCTAATCAAGCCTTCTGTTGAGACTAGCTGACTATTAAGGATTTCCTTGTGTCCCTTAAAGTGACCCCATTAAGCAATGTCCCTTACAGCGGCCCCTTCTGAGCATCAATGCTGTGCTGCACTCAGGACTTTGCAGTGGGGTCACTAATGGGCAGTGAGGCCTTAAGCAATTAATACATCTATCAAAAAGAAGTGGCATGTGGGCCTCCCGGGTGGCGCAGCCGGTTGAGCGCAGCGCTGTGAAGCTGTCCGCAGCCTCTGCAGCGCGGGTTAGATTCCTGGACCGGCCAGGGAGCTACCCAGGTAGCGCAGCAGACTTTTCCTGTCGCGCCTGCTGCTCCCCTCAGCAGTGTTTTCACTCTTTCTGCCTGCTCTGCTCCATGCTCTGTCTCTGGTGTATTCTCTCACCCTCCCGGGCCTCTGGCCTGTACCCCAGTGATTGTATAAATAAATGAATCTTAAAAAAAAAGAAGTGGCGTGAGTGGAGTGGAAAACAACGCTGTTCCTTATTTAAACACGGTGCAACCATCCTTGAAAGGTGGGTTAATTCCCACAGAAGTGGCCAAAAAATCGACAGTTCCACTGGCGGGGAGAGGCTGCGGCAGTGAGGGGATTTTTGAGGAGCCCTAAGTGTACCTCGGCCGCCCCTCAGGCCCGGTGGGCCAGGAACACCCGCCTTCCCACAGAGGCCGCTCTCTACTACCTGCAGCCTCTGGCCAGGTAAGACTTCCTTCAACAAGTCACCTTGGCGGCCGAATTATTCGGCCTGTCATCAAGTCTCTTCAAACGATGTTTTAGAGTAGCTCTATCCCCAAATACACATCAGGCAGAAAGGCTCTTTCCCATAATTTCTTAGCCCTAGAGACCGCTTGGCTTGACTTCAGGTGTGTCTCCTCAGGCGGAGCAGACCCCCGCGAAGGTTGGTCCCCCCGCGGCGACACTTCCCGCCGCGGGGCTGGCGGCTCCCGGCTGCGAGCCCCGCCCCCTTCAGGGCCCGCCCCTCTCCGGCCTACGTCCGGCTGTTCACCAGGCAACTCGCGCGCAGAAGCAGAGGCGGAGGCGTGGGGGCGTGTCCTACGCAGACCCCGCCCCGGATGCCCCGCCCCCCGGCCCACCCTGCAGCCAACAGCCTGCGGCGCGGGCGCCGAGAGCTCCAGGCCCACCTCCTCTCCCTTCTCCGAGACGGTCCTGAGCGCATGCGCCTTGAGAAGCCGGCGGGGTGAGGGGGTACCGCTAGGAGAGGAGGGGGGGGCGTCGAAAACGGAAGTAGGGGTCATGGCTTCACCGGCTTGCTGGAGTCAGAGTCCGCTGGAGAGCGCGTCGGGGGCGGCTCCGGGGGGCAGTGGTCGCCCGGGAGGTCTTGGCCTGGGTTCCGACCCGGAGTTGGAGCTGGTCTCGGCCGCGGGCTGACCGCCGGTGTTGGTGTGTCTGTGCCCGCGCAGGGGACATGGACGGCTGCCTGGCAGCAGCGGCTCTCAACGGGATGGACCGACGGTCCCTGCAGCGCTCGGCTAGGTTGGGTCAAGAAGTACTGGAGCGGGCCAAGAGGAGAGCGGTGGACTGGGGTTCGCTGGAGCTTCCCAGAGGCGGCGTGGGCGCCTTTTCCAGGGGGAGACCCTACGAAGAAAGACGTCCCGCACCTGGTCCCCAGCGCCTTTTCCCAGGAGAGGTGAGGACCCCTGTGCTTGGGGACCAGCCCATTCATCCCCTCTGCGGAGGCCCGTTAGGATTGAGGACGCACCCTGCACAAGCATCTGAGGGATCTTGTCTTTGGAAGAAGCTGTCAAGTGTAAGGGCAGTGAAAGGAAAAGTCCTTTGAAAACGTTTTGACATTTGACAGATTCTAATGTGGTGGCATTAGAATCTTGCTAGTGCTGGGTCTTGGTTACTTAAAAAAAAAAAGGTTACATGCTACCCTGTGATAGCTAGCAAAACTATCTTTATTCTGGTTAAATTACATGTCAGTGTGCTTTAGAGCTGTAATTATCAGTGAGACCCTTTTTACTGACTTAAACTTGCATAGGCCTTTCAAAAAGTACAAAGGAAGCTATTCCCCAAATGACTTTATTTTCCATTGGGGAATACCAGCTCTCACCTGTGACTTGCCCTTTGTTCAAATAGAGAGAAGAAAGATACCCAACCCTTAGTGCTTCCTTCAGAACAATGGCTGAATTCATGGACTATACTTCAAGTCAGTGTGGGGTAAGTTGGTGTAAATCAAAGACATGTCCCTGCTCTGCCTGCTGATGGATCAGAAAATGGTTCTTTCTGGAATTTAGGGAGAATGTGAAGATTTGTTGTTTATCCCACCCTATCTCCTGGGCAAGTTGTAATCAGTAAAGGATTTAAACCAGGTGATAAATCCAAGTTAGAATTCACTCAACAAATTTTGAAAGCCTAACTCTGTAGGTACTATTGACCATACAGCAGTGAACTAGACAGAAAAGGATTCTGCCTTCACCACTGTTTTCAGTCTACTGGAAAAAAAGGAGAAAAAAATATGAGTTCCCCTTAAACTTTCATCAGAACTAAATTTTAAAAAAATCAATAGGGTATACTCTAAACTGGAATTGAACTTCTGTTTTCACAATGTATTGAAACAAAAATGAAACAATAAAAATGAAAACAAAATCCCTACATTATCATTAATTAACCTGTTTCAAGCCCCTGGCAACACAGTTTTTAAGTATGTACCATGGGTCCATGTTTCTTGCTGACAACAACAGTGGTTAAGTGGAACCAAAGCAGCACCCTCATTGGAGGTAGTGTGACTGACTGACTGGGAGGAGCAGCTTCCCAGGAAACAGACCCAAATTCTGTCACTTACTAAGGTCTTAACTGACAGTTACGCCTCTCTTGGCCTTATCTTCCCCATTATAAAATGAACATTTCCGAAATTCTTTCCAGCCTTTACAGTGTTGGTTTCCACTGAGAGATGAACACCAGAAAGTTGTCATAATCCGTAGTATGAGAGACAAGTGAAATTTTTGGTACCATTCATTGAAACGGGTGCGCCAAAGTTCTAAAGCCCCTCTTCCTAAAACCAAAACCATGCACTGAAGTCATCTTTAAGTACTTTGAGAGAATGATGAAGGCAGGCCAGCCAACATTTAAGGAAATCAGCTTCATGGAAGACTCTGGTCTCTTCCAACCTTAACATTTTGTTATTCTCACATTATAAGGGTGCTACTCTACAAAGGAGAAGAAAGAAAATACCTTATGTTATGTCCTGCTTTGGAAATGTACATGTTAAATTTTGCATCTTTTATAAAAATCCTAACACCAAGAACAGCATTTCAACCAATGAGATAGGGTTCCATTGTTTTTATGTTCTTATTCTGTTAAATGGTTTTAGAAAAATCCATAACTTAAACACTTTGGTTCGTGGTTCAGTAAAAGGAATAATATTTGTTTTTGGTTTGAGGCTTAACAAATTGGTAGTCTTCATTCTGGTTTTCAGTTCATGCTTCAATTCAGGTCTCCATTATGGAATGGAGTCTTATATCCCTCGGCTTTCTCAACAAAGAAGTAAGGACAGTGTTATGAGTTTGCCTTCACAGTTTTGCAGCAGCTTCTAAAATAGTCCATTAGATCCATGTCCTGAAATGTTTCCCCATGCTCTTACTCTTCTGTTCACATACCTTGGATATATCTCTACACATGTTCAAAACCAGCAGATTGTGATGGCCTCATCATTAGTCATAATCAAGGCACATCTACAGTTAACTTCTAGGAGGAGGATGAAAGCAAACAAGAAAAATATAACTGCTTTCTGGGCCATTGGATTATTCTCCTTAAATTAGAGATCTTACCCTTACCTCCTCCTAGGAGTTTGCTGCATAGCTATAGGTTTTATGTTACCTTTCCTGTTGTATTTCTAAATCTTAGTGAGGTGTACCCCTTTCTTCCTTTGTCCTGTCTATTACTTAGACGGTAAACATGGAACTGTTCATCAGAACTTGTCAGGAGAAGAGATGAAAGGGCATATGTATTTTTCACTGGGACTGAAATGTGAAAATTTTTTAGCCTGGCAGAGAGCTTGGTCTTCCCAGCTTTGGTTGGCCAGAATTCTTGCCCTACAGAGGCAGCAGATGGCAGCAAAGGAATGCCAGATGCAGTTTTCTTTACTACAGCTGTGTTTCATAGGCTTGGATTTGTTATATGACTTCAGAGGCCTGTCAGCAGGGCAGGTAATTTACTTTTGCCCGCCTGTCTCCCTTCTTAATGTTCTTGGCCCACGTAACAGAATTTTATGAAAATTTGATGAAATTTAGTTACCAACATCTTTCACATTACTTCCCTAGAAATATTACTCATCTGTGCCAGAGGAAGGAGGGGCAACCCACGTCTCCCGTTATCACAGAAGGAAGTCAGAGCTGCACTTGTGCTCGGACATAGGGAATGATCAGGTGGGTATCCTCATCTGTCCGTGTCTTCAGCCTCGCAAGAAGGGGGACCCTGTATTCAGGAGGACCTGCTGGATTTGTACTGGTGGATGCCTGCATAATTCAGTGTTATAGTGCGGAACAGAAATATGTCAAATCCCAGCCTCCAGAACTCACAGCAATGAACATGAAATCGGAATTTGTCCAAAATATATGATCAATGCCACTGTAGGATCTTTGTTGAACCTGTAATCCCGGGCCATGGGATTCTTGGACTGGCTTACAGGAAAGAACTTTAAATGTACTCTTCTACTTCTAGGGTAGAAAAGAGATTTTTAACAATCATAAATTTTATTCTAAGTTAAGGATAACTATAATGTCTTTGGTAATTATAAATAAAGAAGTACAAGGAAGGTTCCTCTTAACAAAGTACTTTTCCTAAAGATAATAATTACAAACCTCACTACAAACTTACCTGGCTTTTACCACATGGCATTCTGGGGACACCAAATATTCTGCTTGTTGAGCTCCATGTAATCAACTAGGGAACCTAGCTCAGAGGCACAGAACTTCTGTGAATAGCAGAGGTAAGATCCATCAGGTCTGTCTGATGCCAAAGCCCATGTAAGGATAAAAAGTAGTTATGGTAAACATCTGACTAAAAATACCTGACAGAATTCATTAAGAACCTCAATACTTAGGTGACAATATAGGAAAAAAAACCTGACTAAACAACTGCTAGTTCCTAATCAAGTCGAAGAAAAAATTTCTCTTTACAAAGCAGAAGTCAAAGTGTGAACACTAATACTGTTTCTAATTGTCTCTTCAGAGAAAAGACACATCCCTTGGTGTTGGAAGAAACTATCAAGTATCAGAGAGTGCTCGGGCATCCCAGCCTGTGAGTACCAAGTTTGTAGTATAGGGGCCTTCACCGCCATTGCATTTCCATGAACTGGCTGACCTGGTTATTATCAGGCTATTTGTATTGGATCTGTAGTCATTTTAGTTGAGCTCTTCTAACCCTTTGGGGAGAGTGTGTAATATTTTGGTTCAGTGTAAAATTGTTTTCTTGCTATCCTTCTTTCCCTCGAAGCTTCGGGGATATTCTTTGTGCCTGAACTCATAGTTGTGGTTGGAAAGAATGTTAAGTATTCATATCTCAGCTCTTCCAGCTCAGCTGGCCTGGCACTGTGTCCTACCGGAATTCCACCATCTGTTCAAGCAGCAGGAGGGGCCTGACCCTCCTGCTTACAAAGTGAAAACCATTGCTGAAATTCTTAAACATACACATTTGGTTAGATCAGATTCCAAAACATTTGAAGGGATTTGTCCCCATATTTTGCAAATGTTTCTCTATAAAACATAGTAATGAGTTTTTCATTTTTAGTATAAAGTACTCAACTCATGAAACTAGTGAATCTTTTGGGACTTGAAAGTGCTGAATTCTGAAGGAAAGCAACTCTGTGGTCTGTTGCTGCGATAATTTAATTTTTGTCTGTATATAATGTGCTACTTACTACCCCAAATCAGAATATACTAGAGTTAGTGGCAACTAAGAACATTCTGCTTCTAGTACAAATATAAGTTGTTAGACTTAGATGTCTCTACTGTTTGCTGGATTTTGCTAATTTCCTGATGTTCATGGCATTGGAATCACAGCTGCCTCTTGTTACCAGTGTCTCCTTTCATGCAGACAAATGAAGCATCCCTGGCTTGTTGCAATTCGGATACAGCTTTACTTTCTCTAAATTTTTCAGTAATTGGGCACAAAATATATAACATAATGCAGCTTTGGGAAAAAAATTGGCTTCAAATCTGTCTACAAGGGGCAGGGTTCAAAAAAAAATGTAGGTATATTATCATTTATTCCTCCCAAAGGAATTTATTGGCCACTAGTTTGCTTTCTTCCTCCTCGGTGTGATGGTAGAAATGACGCTCCTGTCTGTGGCGTCTCATGCACATTTAGTAGTGGTGGTAGTGTTATAGAGCAGCCCCGATATTAAACGGGTTCCTGGCTGTGGGTCCTCACCCGCGCGCTTTAAAGAGACTTATGAATACTCTACTACAGACACACACAAAAGGGTTAATAAAAGGTTTATTTACAAGAGAAAAAGAAAATAAGGAAAAGGTACAACTCAGGGAGAAAATAGGGAAATAAAGTCTTTAATGCGTCCTACCCGATCCAACGACCTGGAAACCCAAAGTCACTCTCAGAGCTGGCCGGATGCTGCAAGCTGGCCGAGAGCCCAAAATGGAGAGCCCCCCAAAGCCCACGTGTCTGCCTTTTGTATCCACCTGGCTGCTTAACCCCACCCTCAGGTCCCAGCCACCTTCCCTTTGGTGGTGATGGGATTTGGAGTTCCCAGTGTCTTTGGCTTTGACCTGGGGTGGGGCTGGAGTCCACAAAGCCTATATGGAATTTGCTTTGGGACATCCTTTTCCCCCTAACAGTAGCTCAGCTGTGGGATAGGAGTTTTGCCTCTTACACTCTTCTGGCTTGTGACTTTGCCCTTGTGCCACTTGCTGAGACCCCTCCACGCACACTGCTACATCCTGTTCCCCAGCCAGTCTGTCCTTGGAGAGTGGTTTGCGTGCAGCTTGGCTCTAAACATACATCTTTGCATTTACTTCACCTTCCAGTGTTTTTGCACTGTAGGAGAACTAATCCTCCAGCTGCCTGGCTGCATGACAAAATGGAATGTGTTCCTAGTATCTCAGCTTTAGGAGAAATGTTACATTTTCCTAATAATGAACTTATCAAAGGATAATTAAAAAGAATCATCTCATTATTCCACAGTGCCTTGCCATCCTGCTGCTGTCTACTTTTGATCCCCCAAATAGTGATCATTAACCTTTCCTTCTAACACATTCTTATCTTTTACTCCAAATAGATTATTCTTTTCATGACCCTCACCCCCGTTTCCTATAGCACTTGAACATTTACAAATGTGTTTTCATACACATGCTTGTGAGGCTGATATATCACAGTCTTAGAAATAAGCAAACAAGCATAAGGAGAGGCTGAGACTTACCTAAATAATAGTCCTATTATGTGGCCAAGCTGAGCCTTGGAAGCAGACCCTCCGTCTCTCACCTCAGTGCTTCACTCTGACACATAAGGGTGGCCTGGTGGAGGTGCCCTGAGGCCACTGGGATATAAATCTCTAACCTGCTTATATCTGCTTTCTTCCCAGGCTGAGCCCATCGCCAAGGACCTCTACATAGAAGTGTATCCAGGAACCTACTCTGTCACTGTGGGCGGAAATGACTTAACCAAGAAGACTCATGTGGTAGCAGTTGATTCAGGACAGAGTGTGGACTTGGTCTTCCCGGTGTGAGTTGACATCACATTGCACTGCATCACTTTTTTTAAGTAGCAAGAAGAATAAAGCCACCATATGATTCTATTGCTATTTATACGTTCATCCTGCTTTTAGTGCTGATTGTTGACAGCCAGCCTTTCTGGTAATTGGAGCTTGTCTCCTGGAGCCTGTTTTAATCTGAAAGGGTGGACGTCACCCCCACCCTCCAGTAATAATGTAATTATTTAATGGTGCTGTCTGAACAGTTTTTGCTGCTTATTTTCCAAATAAAGGTTAATTATGATAATAAAGGGAGAGATTTGGAAATGAAGAGAATTCCTTTTTATTGGTATTAAGAGTGAAACAAAATGTCATTCATGTACTACAGTAGATTGTATGAAAAGGTGGCAGAAAGGCTGTGGACATATTTGCCCAAAGCATATTATTGACCATACCCTTAAATTCTGTGAAAGAGAGCCATCAGCAGACCTCACACAGCCCAGGACAGGGAGCCTTGGGTGCTGCCACATTCTGTGCCCTCATGACAGGTGCCTTCCTGTCTTCACTTGCAAGGAAATTTTAATGGGGTGAAGATGCTGCTGCTTATTTGACTATCAGGCCTGGGCTGACTCTACCTCCTTAGGTTGATGAAGGTCTTCTCACTTTGTTACTCCCCTTCAGGTATTTACTACCACTCTTTAGCTTCCTATGAGAGAAAAAAAAATAAAAAACAAGAGTTTCAGGCTGACTATAATTTTTGGGCTCAAAAGGCACTGATTTAAAGTCATTGACGTGTCCCTGCCTTCCAGAACACAGAGGTTCATTTAAACAGGGAGCCTTTTACCCCAAAAGGCCAAAGATGATTTCCGGCCATGTAAGCCTTCTGAAAATTGTCTGCAGAATTGTGGGGAAGTATATTTTTCTAGGAAGAAGAGCTGTGGATTGTATCAGTTTCAAAATGGATGTGACCCCAAATTGTTACAGAACCATAGCCATGCCCTTAAGAAGCCGCTTCCCAGACATTCTGCTTTACCTAGATCCTCAGGGTTTTTGGCCTAAGGGGAGTTGGGGCCCCTCTGATGTGTGGCAGTGCCTTGACTCGGTGTTGGGTGCACAGCTTCCTTGGGCAGGGCCTGTAGTGGCTGCATGTTGGTTCCTTCCAGCACCAGCTCCTGGGTGCTCCCCTCCACTGCAGCCTGTGCTCGCTGTTTGTTGCCCTTCTCTTCTTTCCAGATGTTGCAACATCTTGTTCCTAAACCCAAAATTCAATTATTTGGGCTTATGCCACCATTTTGATGGGCTTACACTTGATGACGTAAGTAAAACTAGATGAAGACCACTGAATTTCTCAATTTTATCTGTAAGCTCCTAGTACCGTGCTCTGTTTCTAAAGAGAAGTAAAGTTTGTTAATCATTCTTGGCCCTTGGGAAAGGTAGCTTTGGAATTGGGTGGGAGAAGTTGTCAGACATATTTTTCAAAACAGCTAGTCAGGGAAGCAAAGGTAACCAATCACCACCAGTTGAAGGAGCTTGTAAATCCCACTTATCACAAAGAAGGGATAGTAAGATGATGGAAAAACAAGTGCTGAGAGTTTGAAAGCAGCAAAACAAAAATAATAGATGTGACTTCCTGAAGAGTAAGACAATGAACTAAAAAAGAAGGAATACTTTAAGAGAAATCCATCCCCTCCCCGACTTTGAAAATGACAGATTGAATTCTGTCTCAGCCGTAAGCAAGGACAGAGAGCAACACAACTGCTGGCAGCCAACAGTCGGGCCTTTGGAATCATCAGGTTAGGATCCAACAATAACCAGTGCCTGTGACACACAGTGCAAAGGGGTAGAGGCTGAGGGACCCACACAAGAGGGTTCTTAAGAGGCGGGGTCTAAGCCTGACTGTTCAGCATCAGTACTTGATGGCCCTACCTGGAGGAAGGTTTACCTGGCTTCCCCGGATGTGGCTCGGGCCCACTTCTCTTCCAATACCTCCACACGGGCTGACAAAGGCCACCCTGTCTCGGAGACGTCTCAAGCAGGATGGGGTCTGTGTTGACTGTGCTGTTCACCATCAGTCTCTGGGGGAGGCCCATATCCAGATCATTCTCCAAATTCTCTTCAGAAGAAGAGGAGGAAGAGGAGGAAGAAACAGCCATGGGCGCTTGCACTGCTACTTCTTCATTCTTAGGACCCTCTAGCGGCAAAAGCTGGCCTGTTGGCTTCAGCTCCTCTTCTGGATGTTCTCTGACTGTGACCCCTGAGGCCCTGGTTAGAGGCCACCAGGTGGGTCCAGCCAAAGGGTAGCAGCAGAAGCAGCCCCCACACAGCAGCTGGCAGCAGGCATGGGGTTGGCAGGGAGGGCACAAGAATGAAGCGCCCAGAGGAAGCCCGCTGGTGACATATCCAGTGATGGGCCCCAGCAGAGAGCAGCAAGGGGCCCAGAGGAAGGGCCAAGGGCGCTCCCTGGTGAAAGGCGAGTATAGCCTCTCCACAGCCTTCTTCCAGACAGCTGGGGGCACCCACCTGACCCCACTTACAGGTACTGTAGCTGTCTTGCCATTCCAGAAGTGAACAGTAATTTCTTCTTCAGATGCTGCATAACCAAAAAGGACATTTTGTTACAAGTGCCTCTTCTCCATGGTAGGAAAAGGCTTTTCCCATCCCTAAAGGCAAAGCCTGGGCAAAGCCCCTCTGCTCTGCCTGCCTCATATGCACCCTCCCTGGAGAATCGGCCCAGAACATTCCCTCAGGCTGTCCTGCAGCTGCTTCCTCAGTTTTCTTGTCAAAACCAAGATGCCTCTTGGGGTGGGGGAGTCAGGGGACATGGGGGGTGTGGGTCATAGGGGGTACCCTTCCAGAGAAGGGGGCAGGGAGGGAAGGAAAAGCCTCCTCCTGCCAATGTCTGAAGTACAACAGTGCTGATGACCAGCTTGGAGAACTTGATGGGGGACAGCTCATGTGCACTGCTGTGACCCCAGGCTAACCCCAGCACACCAAGGGTCACCTAACCAACACAGTGTTTTTAGACTATTTGCTCTGGTAAAAAATATTTTGTAATCCCAAGGATATTATTTGCATATCTGTTGCCACCCCAGGATTAAGCTGCAAGTGAAGGGGTAAGGATGGTTTTAAATGCCTCTAAACTGTCTCCGCTCTCTCCTCCTGCCTGCTCCCCAGCCTGGCTCCTTCCAGGGACTGGGCAGTAAGAAGAGCTTCCCTTACCTCTCTGGGGGTCTCTCCCCTTCAAGCACAAGAGCACAGTGCCAGGGCCATACCGCTGATGGTCTGATTCCCAGGATGCCAGCACCTTGTCCCCAGGCTGCAGTGAGTATTCCATGGGGGGCAAGAACTGAATGACATCTTCTTCCAAGACCACACCTTGCCGCTGAGCTGGCAGATTTGGGCCTGTGAAAAGGGGAGCCTCAAATTCCACCAGCAGGGCCCCCTGCCTCTCCAGCTGTTGGAAAGAAGACACAGGATAAGATCTGGCATTAAGAAGCACAACAGGGACCACCCCCATGGTTCCCCAAGACTCCCATGGTTCCCCACGACTCCCCAAGGTCTTCCTTACAAATGCTGAGGGCATCCAGAGAAGGGAGGGGCACTATTAGAGCTGATTATGGCAGAGACAAGCAGGCTGTGGGATGGATGCTCCAGGCCTCCCCCTCCCCCGCTTCTTGCCAGAGGCAACTCTTGCTTATCACTTTCTGTCTTTCCCTTCCATTCTCTTCCTCTTTTTCTTTTCTGTCTCTAGTTTTGGCTGCAATTCCCAGGAGTAGCCCGGGTCCTCTGTCCTTCCCCAGTGCACTCCTCCAGACCAACCAGGGTCCATCCTCCAGCCTACAGGCTACAGGCTAGGTGTGGCCCTGAGGGCAGCCCTGAGCTCTGCCACTTCAGCCAGGCGGAAAGGGTTACCTAAATGAGCAGCATATAAGAGAGGGCTGGAGAATTACTTAAGCTCTTGAAAAGCAATAGTTGTTTTGAGTACTCAGTGTGGTTTTGAAGAGAAAGTCTGGTTACAAATGACTTTTATCAAATCACTGGACAGAACCTATACTAGAGCCAAACTCTGCTCATGTTTTATTTGAATTCAGAGCTTCGTATGTGAAAATAACAAAATGACTCGATTGGAAATTCTATAATTCATATTTGACACTCGTCTTCCCTGCATGGGTTCACACTCACAAAGTCCGGCTGAAGAGAAACGTGCCAGAGAAGCAAGCAGCCACTGGGCTAGGGCCAGCATGTGGGGATGGTGTCTCTGTGGGTCCCCGTGCACAAGTGTGCATGCAGGCAGACAAGTTGTGTTCCTCTTTCCCTTGGGCTGGTGCCCATAATTCAACACACAACTTTCCCAAACAAAATACTTTCACTGTACATTTTCTTCACAGTTGAGCGTTGACTGTCTCCCCCTTCACCTGCCCTCAATTCATATGTTGCAGTCTGAAACCCTAGTGCCTCAGAATGGAACCTTATTTGGGAATAGGGTCTTTGCAGGTATAGTTACGACGAGGCCATACTGAATATGGCTGAGAAGTGTGGGTCCCTAGTCCAGTATTGGTGGTGCCTGTTTCCAGGTGCTCTCTCCGAAGGCCACGGAGTCTTCTACAGGCAGGGGAAGGAGGAAAAAGCCTCCTCCTGTCATTGTCTGAAGTCCAGCACTGCTGATGACTGGCCTGGACAGCTTGATGGGGGACAGGTCAGCAAGCTTGGGAAGCCTTCACCCCAATACTGCAGTGTGGCCACAACCCTGATCACGTACTTAAAAAGGGGGACATTTGAACATAGACGCTCACACAGGAGAACACCTTGTGAGGATGAGGCTGAGATCAGGCTACTTTATAAGACAGTGAATACCAAAGGTTGCCAGCAAACCCCCAGAAGCGAGGAAGGGCACACAGAACAGATTCTCCCTCACAGACTTCAACACCTGGAATTGCAGCCCCCAGAACTGAGAGACAGTAAATTTTTGTTGTTTAAGCCACTCAGCGTATGTGATATTGTTATTCAGCCCAAGCAAACCACTACACTCACTAAATACTACACTTTTGCTTTTACACCCTGGCCTGGAAGACCTTGTCTAAGAAATGCTTATCCAAGAAACTGAACTGCTGGACCACACAGCTGAAGCACACCCAGAGATGCGTGCTGGGGTTGTGTGGGGTATCGGGGACTTACCTCTGGAGCAGACTTTATCTGAGCCCGGTAATAAAGACCATCCAGCTCCCTTCTTGCCAGAACCCATGTGCCAGCAGCATCTCCTACTCTCCCCAGCCAGCTGGGCCCCTGCCATGCCGGGTCAGCAATGTGGAGACATGGGTGGTAAGCATACCTGGGGAAGAACAAATGGAATTAAAGGGTGAAGACCAGGCCCCCAAACACCAAGAATCAAGTTTCACAGTTACTGGCACCACAGCATGTATACGACACCAAGTGAAGAGTGGTAATCTACGGCTTCCAGAGTAAGACAAGGTAAACTGTCAGAAGGCACCAGAGGAGATGACACCAAATGGAGTCATCACTTGAGAATTGGGAATTGTTTCAAGGTCATCACGATGGGATTAGCCTTGATATAGTCAAGTTATTTGATGCTGCTCCTGAGACCAACTAGCAGACCAGGGAAGAGTACCAGGAGGGTAAATCCTAAAGTGGTGTGTGGGATTCCAGGATGAGGCATGGAAGCTTGCATGGTAATGCCAAAGGAGTGGAACTGTAAGGAGGTTTGACAGTGTGGAGTCAGGAGGAGGAGGAAGTTTGCAAGGCAGGAAGGCACAGGGGAGCTGATTAAGCATATTTGGGCCAGACCAGGGAAAAGCTAGTTCTAGGAGAAATCGTGGGAAGGGCCACACAAGGGGGGAATAGTCTAATCGGGTTTTGGGTTTCTGCAGAAACTGCTTCCTGTATGGGCAAACCTGAGCTCAGGGATGCTTAACTCTAGCCTTAAATGACCTCGTCCTCATAGGTGAATCAAGAAAGGAGGTTAATTGCAAGCCCCTAGCTGGGCAGACTGAACTGAACAGCACAGACACGAGTCCTTGGGACCCCACAAGGCATGTGTGCTTATAGGATGGGGTTTCTTTCCCCTCTTGCTTTCATACTCTTGACAGCAGATTGATGCTACTAATCCAGGAAAGTCAGGGTAACTGAAGACTACTGAGAGAATTTGAGCATAGAGAGATCTTTCCTTAGTTTTGGTTGTAAAAACCCTAATTTCTCAGGTGGTACCAGGGAAAGTCTCAGAGTTGATGGTAAGTGAGCTAGAAATATGGTAACTGGAGATGCCTGACTGCCCGCTGTCACCCCCAGCTCCAACATTTGCCACTCTACTAATGTGGGACAAAAGCCACGTCCTCTCTTGAATACAGTTCAGGCTACAATAATATAATAACCTAAGCAAGTACCATCCCACAGTAAAGAACCCCCTCAGCCTTCCCAGAAAGCAAGTTTTATCCCTCATGGTATTCCATGTCAAGCCAAGAACAGAGGAGAAAGGAAGGTGCACCCCACTTCCTCCAGAGGAGCAGAAACCAGTACCTGGTGAGGGGGTTGTGACTGGTGAGCCAGGGCACTTGGAGGGCAAAAGGGCAGGTGAAGGAGAGGTCCCAGGGAGCAGCAGCACCGGTCCAGGCAGGGACCTTCAAGGTTGTGGCCACACTGCAGTATTTGGGGAAAGTCTTCCCAGGCTCTGCAGAGGACTCCATGGCCTTCGGAGACACGGCCTGAAAACAAGCACCACCAGTACCTGCACAGCGGCCCACAGCCCAGTAGAGGGCACCTGGCTGTGGCAGGGTTCAGCTCTAGGGTTAGGCACCCCTCTGGGGACAGTTAGTACCCCAGTGTGTGACTGTGTTGGGGATTAGGCTGCCCTGCTCACCCCCACTGTCTCCCACAGACATTGAGGTGTCCTCTGAATCACCTGCCTAGGGAACTTCAGGTCGGGAAATAGAGGAGAGATTGAAAAGAGCTGTGATTTTTAGAGACACCCAGCTTTAAATTCTTCATAGCCTGCTGGCCGTGTGCTCACTTCTCTGCACTTCACTTACAGCTCAGGAGATAATAAGTGGAAAGCACCTGGCACAGAAGTAGCTTAATCTGTGTTAGATTTTTCCTCCTTCCTCCTCCCCAGTAAGATCATATTCCCTTTCACAAATCCTAACCCTGATGGCAAACTGACCCCTAACCCAAGCCACAGACTCCCTTCCTAACCCAGTTACCGATTAGACTTACTCTGTCCCCAGGCTAAGACCCCAGGGCTATGCCCTCCCCACCCCCGCCCCCAGACCTGTTCAGAGGTGAACAGAGTCTTGTTAGAGACTGTTCCTGCCCAAGTCTGCAGGTCTGACCTCAAGGGGACTTACTCACAGTCCCAAACTCCTGGCCTCCACTGCAGCCTCAACCCCTTCTGACAGTTGGGGCTCAGAGCCTCAGCCTAACTGACTCCTGGTTGCCAAGCAGGTTGCCAGGCAGTTTGCCCTGGATTCCAGCCAGTAGGAATGCTGTGGGCCGAGTGAGTGTACTGAGCATGTGCAGAGGGGACCTTTGAGCAGCATGGGTGGGGTTGGGGGGAGGGACTGGGGAGAGGGATTCTTCCCCATCTTTTGCTTTGAATAGGAGGGGGAGGAAGTATTGGGGAGAAAGTCTTCTAACAGCCTTTTGGGACATTGGAGTTATTGCCACAGAAAGAGGATAGACCTAAAGAAAACAGGTTCTTGGTGACAGTACCGAGCCCTGCCTGAAGGCAACCCTAAAGCTAGGAGCTCAGTTATATGGCCGATATATTCCCCTTATTGATAATATCATTCTGGGTGGGATTTTCTCTTACTTACAAAAAAAGCTGATGACTGCCCTTGGAGCATGCAGCTTTGTAGTCAGGGAAATGACTGTTGCCCAGGACCACATACCCAAAGGTCGCTTTAAGGGCTGTACAAAGAGCACAAGAAAGACCAACTGAGTCTCTGGCAGTGAGAGAACAATTCTGAAATACAATAGCTGGGATTTCAATGGTGGAGGGGTAAACAAGGACAACATTTCAATCTTTATAGGAAGCATGAGCTAAGTAAGAGGGAAGGATGCATTTGCAAGACTGATTTTCTTTTGAGGGAATAATGGGGTATCATGGGAAAATCAGGGTGTGGATATTTGGGGAGGGTTGAGATTAATGGGAACTTTGAAAACCAAGCAGATGCATGGAAACAATGGAGTAGTGAAAAGGAAGTGCCATGGGGCTTAAGCAAAAAATGGTGTGAAGTGTTTTCAGAAAGAGTATCATCCTGAGGATGGAGCCAGTTGAGAACACAGCCCAGAGGCCAGGGAGGAGACTGTTAACAGTGACCCAGACAAAAGGTGACAGGACTGGGCTAGGAAAATAACCCCAAATGGCTACTGACATTTTCCTGATCTGAAGCTGCTCCTGGGTGCTAGGAACTTAGATGAATAAGACTGTATTACTTCAATAACTTACGATCCACTGAAGAGGACAGAGATAGATATGGGACGGATACTAACTTAGCAGGATGGGAACTGCAATGGAAAAAATAATGGCTGGGGTAGGAAGACTTCACATGGCAGTGAATGTGATGGTGTATAGGAAATCCTGACTGGGTTTAGTGACAGGTGAGACCTGGGAATTAAGGCAGAAGAAAGAGCTGAAAACATTTTGCAGGCAGGCGGACTGCAAGATATGGGCTGTGAATGTGCTTCCCAGGAGTGAGAAAAAGTCTGGCAGTTGCACATTTTCCAGCCTAAAGAATCCAGAGAATGGTGATCAGAACGAGGTCAGGATGATAGTAATTATAAAAATAAGAAAAAGGATAGTTATGAATACTCATTATGTGTCAGGCATATAATGCTCATGATAAACACATCAGGTAGGTTGCTGTTATTACTATTCTCATCCTGCGGATGAAGAACTAAGCCATGGAGAAGAAGCAGTAGAGTCTCAGTTGAGGCAGGTGGATTCCAGAGCCTGCCCTCTTACTCCCTGCGCTAAGCTGCTTGAGGATGTCTTCTTCGAGGAGGAACAAGATGACTATGAAATAATTTCAAATGACAACAAACTTTGTTATTACTTTTGCTTTAGCCCTGGGACACTTTCTCTTCATGACATGGACAAGGTCCAGATTTCTTGTCAACCCCCAAATAATAAAATCCACCAAACTTTGACAAATCAAGAGAGTTCGTGGTGACTGCTTAGCATGAAGCACCTGTGAAGTGCATGACAAGTGGTGAGTCGTCTTTAGTTATACTTTACATTGCTTTTGTGAGACTTTGATCAAATGTGTGAGAAGGGTAAGGTGAGAGCTACAGAGAATCCTGAGGACTCCTACTCCCCTCAAGAAATCACAAAGTGTGAGAAGCATCTTCTCAATCTACATAAGATAGTGTTTAATACGTGTGAAACCCAGGCAAGAAATAAATATTCGATGGAGGTTAACATCTGAACTATTATCTGCTCACACAGAAATGACATTTAAGAAAAGCTTTTCATGGGGCTCTAAGGGACCCCATTCTGTGAAATTATTTGTTTCTCTTCGGAAACACTTGGATCAAATGATTCTAAAAATGGGGTCAGGGTGGCGGCTGGTGGTTGCCATTATGGAGGAAACTTTCCCAGGATTATTCTTGGTCTCAGCCTCCTCAGGGTATAGGAGAGACTGCAGGTAATTAATATACTTGATTGCAGCTCTGAGGGTTTCCACTTTGCTGAGTCGTTTCTCCAAATATTCCTCTGGCAGATGATGTCGGAGCTGGGCATAGCCTTCATTGACACATTTCACCCGCTGCCTTTCCCGCTCATTCCTTTTCCGGATAAAGGCAGGCCCATAGGAGTATTCGCACCTTCTGTAATTTGGATAAGGCATTGGGAAGGAGAAGGGACAGGGTTCACCATAATTTTCCATAATCAGGGAATCACTAGAAAAAGGCAGCAATGGCAGCTCTTCAGAGTAAGGGGATGGCACTGGGGCCTCGGGATACAGGTGAAAGGTGACCATGGGGTCCAGATAGAAAGACCTGGTCAGCGGCAAGTGGGCAGAATCAGAGAAGACAGGCAGTTTGTCTGGCAGATTCGCGTAGCTTCTGTTGTCCATTATTTCCTCTCTAGCCTGAAAACATAACCAAGTTAGTTAATCTGGTAGATCAAAAGAGAGCAGATATCACCGATTTTCTCAGCCATCAACGTTTTAAAGACTTTTCTGCTTTGATGAATAGTTTCTTCAGCTCATTCTGTAAATAAATGGAGTTACACTATTTTGTGAGTAGTAAGAGAGAGGATTTTTGATGGCACACAACACCAGCATCAAATAACATGGAATCACCTGGTGGGAAGGTGTGTCCCTTTCAATGCTCTGTTGACCCTGGTGATGACGGACACAGCTTGAGTCTAGGGAGTGTGCCTTCCACACTGCTAGAATGCTTCTGTTAGGGGGAAAAGAATGTCCCAAAGCAAATTCCATATAGGCTTTGTGGACTCCAGCCCCACCCCAGGTCAAAGCCAAAGACACTGGGAACTCCAAATCCCATCACCACCAAAGGGAAGGTGGCTGGGACCTGAGGGTGGGGTTAAGCAGCCAGGTGGATACAAAAGGCAGACACGTGGGCTTTGGGGGATCCCCCATTTTTGGCTCTCCGCCAGCTCGCAGCGTCCGTCTGGCCAGCTCTGAGAGTGACTTTGGGTTTCCAGGTCGTCGGATCGGGTAGGACGCATTAAAGACTTTATTTCCCTATTTTCTCCCTGAGTTGTACATTTTCCTTATTTCTTTTTCTCTTGTAAATAAACCTTTTATTAGCCCTTTTGTGTGTGTCTGTAGTAGAGTATTCATAAGTCCCTTTAAAGCGCGCGGGTGAGGACCCACAGCCAGGAACCCGTTTAATATCGGGGTTGCTCTATAACACTTCTAAGCCCCCTCAGATGGAAGTCTTCATGAGCAATAGTATCTAGCTAAAATAATAACAAAATAAAATATAGACTCTACCTAAAAAAAAAAACCTGAAAGTTCTTTTAAATAAATCTACATGAGGAAAAATTGTGAATTGATTTTAAGAAAAATAATAAAGAATAGTTCAGGTGAAACACTGATATAATGGAGATCATGAAGCTCTATGCAAATACTGAAGTCTGGGAAACACCAAAACAGCAAAATATTCAAATACACTTTGGAGAAATTATGAACTAGTTAGTGATCAAGCAACCTCACAGGCAAAGTCTTCTTAAATAGTGCTTGCTGTGCCAGGGGCAAAACTGAAAATAAAGATAAGAAAGGAATGATTTGTTATTAAAAATTCACTATATTACTTTAAATGAGAAACTTTCTTAATACATTTAGAACAGTCAATTTACACATTTTTTACTTAAAAGTGTAAATAAATCTGTTGCGTGATGGGCACCTGTATCTTTTTCTTTTCTATTCTTTTTTCTTTTTTTTTTTTCTATTTTCTTTTTTCATGGAACATAAGGATACACACACTAAGAGGTCCCATTCCAACACATTCCCTCTTTCGGATTAGGTCTGCATCCTTCTCATTTGTTAAAGTATCATTATTTTTTGCTTTTAACTGTAATAATGGAGTCACAACAGATTTACAAGGACATTACACTAAACCAGTTAACCAGGAGCAGCATGATGCTGTGGAAAGGAGCATTTTTCCCTTGAATCATAATATATTCAAGTTTCGATCTTGGCTTTGCCCTTTCTTACCTCTGTGTCCTTAAGCAAGTTTCTCAATCTCTGAGCTCCAGCTCTATTCTAAGTTCAACTCTTTATTAACTATTCTACAGCAGCATGGTTGTGAGGATTAAATGACAAAATAAATAATGTAACAGGCATTAGTTCTTTTCCTCTTTCCTTCCTTAACAGATGAATATGTGAGCAGAGTCACTTTCTCAGCTGCACTTTATAGAAAACCTGCCTTCGATTTTCCCTAACAATGGAAAATAAAAAATTGATCTATCCAAAGTTCACTTGTTTGTTGAGAGATGAGCATACCTAAAATAGAAAAGGAAAAGCAACATGAGAAATCTATCTGTGGACCTTCGGAAAAGAAGGAAATATGACTTTCTCTTTCATCAGGAAAAAAAAAAAAAAGCCCAAATGTTTATGGGCAAGATTAGGTAACACTGGCAAATGATTTTCCACCTGAGGAAAAACTGTAGGCTGCACTATGCGAGATTCAGCTTCTAAGCACTAGAATTAAAATACAAAAAGTGTGTTACAATTCTTGTAAAGAAGCCTGTCCTACCCTCACATGGTAACTAGAGACAAATGACTGGAAACAGTAAGGTCAGTAGGGGATGGGAGTTATGGGATAATTCGTGGTGGAACAGGCTGGAATGGAGTAAAAGCCAGGAAAGTTCTCCCTAATAAAGAGGTTGAGGTGGGGGGATGAGATAAATGTGATAAATGCAATTAAAAATCAAAACAGAGGAACAGGAACTGAAAGATTCCAAATTACTGACCTCACACCCTAAAATAACTAACATAAGACAAAAATCTCTGGAAGATTATAAACTAGCCAAGATTCTGTCAAATAGAAAAGGTTGCTGAGAGAAAAGTTAAGAAATTCCCAGAGATAAAAGACATGTATCACATAAGTATAGAGTCTTGTGACTACATTTCTACATCAGTGACTTATTTCTGCCCATAGCTGAAACAGAGAGACGACAGGGTCCCCCCAAAATAAATAAATAAAGCAGATGTCATCCAAGTTAATCACACACAAGTGTTCCTTTTGCTTTGTTTTATCCCGACAGAGATCATTTTAATATATCTTAAACCTTGACCCAGATGAAACCTGAGTAATTTGTACATGCCAAAGGTAATTAAATTTTCTGATTTTAAAGACTTCACATACTTCTGGAAAAAAGAGCCTGGTGTCTCTGGAGACATACCAATGAGCCTTTCTAATAAGTTCACCAATCAATGCAATAGCATAGAAATGGGATCATGTTTTATTCAAAGAAGAAATTTAACCACAACAGAGTGATAGAATGAAAAATGCAGTAATGAAGAGGATCAAGATAGGCAGTCTAGCGGAGGCTGGACATGTTTGCAGAAATTGAGTCCAAGTTTTTTTAAAAGAAAGCTGTACAGACTTAATCCTGGGGCTCCATGATTCCAGAGACATGCGCAGCTAACAAATGCACCCATCTTGGAAAAGTCTCCAGTTTCCGTCTTAGAGCACTTCTGGGAAACAAATAATGAGGTCTTAATGCCAAAATCCTAAGAGATTCTGGATGCTCTACTGAGCATGAAAGCTTCAACTTTCAGAAATATTAAAAAAAATCTACCATGTAAAAAACAAAAAGCTATAACTGCACATTATTATTGAACTATGGAATGTTAGTGCTGAAAGGAGCTCTAGAAATCCTCTTAACTGATGTCTCATAGGTTGCATCTTGGCTAAGTTTGCAGAGCTAGTAGCAGAGCAGACTCCAGACCTGTCTCCTGAATTCCAAATGCAAACCCTCTCCACTCCAGATGACTTACTTACCAGAAAACGCTCAGTCTTTCCATATACGGGCATACTTGTTAGTTTAAGACAGCTGATCTGCCTAGGGATTTTCTTAAAAGCCATCTCATTCTGTCCCAGGGGTCACTCTGGAGAAGTCTCTTACCTGCGTTTTGTCGACAAGATGCTGCATTTTGGGCTGAGTCAGACAACCTGATTTATAGGTGATCATTTAGTAACAATATGCAAAGTAGCTTACAGTTAAACAGAACTGCACAGTTCTGGTTTGGCTGTTTTTTTCTTACCTAGTAGGTAGGTATGACAACACATAACAATACTAAATAGAAAGGTTTGCTTTCAAAACTGGATGCTTGTAGCAAATTTTCTTGTAAAAAGTATGCCCCCATTCATCTGTACTTTATTATTTTATATAAAAATATTTATGAAAAATATGTAATAATCTTATAATGTACAAATAGTCAATATTCTTTAAAATAGCTATTAGGGCCAGAATCAAGAAGGTCAATGTAAAACTACATTTTAAAAACTTACCTGTTAAAAATCCTTTTTCCTTCTAAATAGATTTTTTCAGAGCAATTTTAGATGCATAGCCAAGGCCAAAAATTTTTACTATCGATGAAACAGTATTGACACATCTCATTACTCAAAACCCACAGATAATATTAAGGCTCACCCTTGGTGTTGTTCATTCAATCCAATTGGATTGGTTTTGACAAATGTGTAATGACATTGCCATTACAATAACATGCAGAACGGTTTCCCTGCTCTAAGAAACCTCTTTGCTCCACCTATTCATCATTTCTTCTCCCGGTATCTGACAACCACTGATACTTTTATTGCTTCCATACTTTTGCCTTTTCCAGAATGCCATATACAGTATATAGCCTTTATATAGATTGACTTCTTTTATTTAGTGACATCCATTTAAGTTTCCTCTATGTCTTTTGATGGCTTGATCGCTAATTTATTACTGCTGAAAAATAGTCCATTGTCTCAATGCAACTTGGTTTTCTTTCTTTTTTTTAAATTTTTTCTCCTTTTTAAGATTTATTTATTTATGCATACAAGAGCTGGGGTGCAGACCAGAGATGCGGGGGGTGAGAGGATTCACCAGAGAGAGAGTGGGAAGCTAACAGGCAGACTGACTGAAATACACTGCTGAGGGGAGCAGCGGACAAGACAGGAGAGGTCTGCTTCGCCATGTGGGTTACTCCCTGGCCGGCCAGGGATTGAACTCATGCTGCTGAGGCTGCGGATTGCTTCATAGTGCAGTGCTTTAACCCCTTGCACCACCAGGGAGGCCCCTACCCTGGTTTTCTTATCCATTCATCTATGGAAGGACATCTTGGTTGCTTCCAAATATGGGCAATCATAAAGCTGCTATAAATATCTATGTGCAGGTTTTTGTGTGGATATAAGATTTCAGTGCATTTAGGCAAATACCAAGTAGTGACAGTACTGAATCATATAGTATGTAAGAAATTGCCAAACTATTTTCCAAAGTGGCTGCACCATTTTCTGTTTCCACCAGCAATGAATGAGAGTTTTTGTTGCTCCATATCAGTGGCAGTGTTTGTGCTGTGTTTTGGATTTGGCCATGCCACTGGTGTAGTGGTATCTTCTTGTTTTAATTTGCATTTCCCTGGTGGCATATAATGCTGAACATGTCTTCATATGCTTATTTGCCATCTGTGTGTCTTCTTTGTTGAGGTACCTGTTCAGATCTTTGGCCCATTTTTCAATCAAGTTGTCTTATTTGTTGAGTTTTTAAAGAGTACTTTATATAATTTGTGATAACAGTACTTTATCAGATGTTTTTGCAAATATTTTCTCCTACTCTGTGGCTTGGCTTATTTTGTTGACAGTGTCTCAGAGAGCAGAGGTTTTTAATTTTAATCAAGTCCAACTTCATTATTTATTTCATGGTTTATGCTTTTGGTATTTTATCTAAAAAGTCATTGCCAAACCAAAGGTCATCTAGATTTTCTTCTGTATCTTCTAGGAGTTTGATAGTTTTGTGTTTCAGATTTAAGGTCTATGATCCATTTTGATGTTAATTTTTGTGCACAATGTAAGGCTTATGTCTAACTTCATTTTCACCCCCTGTGGATATCCAGTTGTTCCAGCATCACCTGATCAAAAGACCATCTTTTCTACAGTTTACCATCTTTGTTTGCATCTATTTCTGGGTTATCTTTTCTGATCTATTGATCTGTTTTTCCAATCTTTTGCCAATACTACATTGACATACTTAATTATTATAGCTTTATAATAAATTTTGAAATGAGATAGTATCAGTCGTTTTTCTCCATTAATATTGTGTCAGCTTTTCTGGGCCTTCTGCCTTTTGAGCCAGTTTGTTAATATCCATAACATGACTTGGAATTTTTGATTGGGTGGGACTGTGTTTAATCTATTGATCAGGTAGGGGAAAACTAACATTTTGATAATAGTGGATCTTCATCATGGACAGGGAATGTGTCTTCATTTATTTAGTTCTTTGATTTCTCCCATTTTATAGTTTTCCTCATATATATTTTGTACACATTGTCATATTTTCACTTATTTAATTTGGAGGATTGCTTATGTTTTTAATTTCATTTATTCATTACTGGCAAATAGGAAAGCAATTGACTTTTGTATGTTAACTTTTTAAACCTACAACCTTGATATAATCACTGACTCCAGGATTTCCCCCTCCAGTTCTTTCAGATTTTCTACAATCACATCACCCATAAACTATGACTTTTCCTTTTTAATGTGATCCATTTTGGGCAATTATAAACCATTTATTTTCTTTTTTTGTCTCATTGCATTAGCTGGCAACTGCAGTATAAAGTTGAAAAGCCATGTTGAAAGGACATCCTTGCCTTGTTCCTTATGTTAGTAAGAAAGTTTCCAGTTTCATACTATTAAGTATGTTTGCTGTAGGTTTTTGTAGATATTCTTTATCAAGTCAAGGAAGTTCTTTGTTCCTAGTTTACTGAGATACTTTATCATGAATGATGGTGTTGGATTTTGTCAATTATATCTAATTGATAGGATCATGTCATTTTTCTTTTTTAGTCTGCTGATGTAATAAATTTCATTAATGGATTTTTGCATTTTCAATCAGCCTTGCATACCTGCGCTAATTTCACTTGGTTGTAGTTAAGCTCACATTTTTTAATACTAATAATAAAACCAATAATTTTTGGTTAGATTTGTGGATTTAAAAAAAGAACCAATTTTTTCACTAACTAAAGAATTTCTTCATTAACAGTTCCTAAAACTTCATCCTTATGAATTTGATGTAATTTAATTCTAATATTTTTGCCAAGAACAAGCACTCCTGCATGCACTGTAATCTCTCAATTTATCAAAATGCTATTTTTATACTTTAAGATACCTATCAGAGTACACATCCACTCTCTTTATCTATACACACACACAAAGAGATCATGTACTACTAATGTTTTATGACTAGTCTGGTGTAAACCTAATCTCACATTAGAGTACAAAATATCTCTGCATCTTTAACTTCATCCTACAGCAAAAGAGGGAGTAAAGTTAGGAGACATAGATATACTGGGAGATGTTTCAAAAATTATCTTTATTGTTACATTTCAAAGAGAACATAGGAAGAAAAAAGCCAGTTATCCAATAACTGTCACACCTTTCAGAGGGAGGCACCTAGAACTCCAGTCCTAGTTCAAAGCTGTACACACTAGAGCTCAAACAGCTGCCTCTCAACCTGACAAGAAATGCTGAAAATACCAGTATTGCAAATACCCAAGTCCTAAGGATTCATCCTTAGAGATGCCAGAAGAAGATGAAAAAGACCACACACACACCAAGATTATGTTTAGTCATTAGTCACTAGAGTAAACCAGCAAATGGCCAGTTTGTTCTAGGATGCATTGCATCAGACATCACAGTTACATGAAGAAAACCTGCATATTGTGAAGAGCTGCCACACATTTCAGATCCAGTTTACCATGAAGTGCAGCCATAGGCCAGCCATATACCTACATATATTGTCAGTGCAAAATTCAAATGGGTAAGTCAGGGCTCTGATGAGGCTGGCTATGCTGCAAAGTAGAAATGAAACTTAGAAATAGAAGGTAAAGGCTATTTACAAAAATTTGTTTACTAAAGTGACTTGAGAAAAGTTATGTTAAGCACTTCCCACGCATCCCTCCCCTTCCCTGCCAAAACACAAACTGAATACAAAACAAAACAAAACCACACAACAACATATACACCTGGAAATTATCTTGAAAATCAAGTTACAACTGTGTGGTGAAAAAGAGAGTGTTTGATCTAGATAAAAGACTTCAAGATAATTTACAGGCAGACTTATTTTTATTAGTAAAAGTCACAGATAGGAAAAGGTTTATTGGCTGACTTTGAGGTGTGCTTTTAAAAATGTATCTATTAATATGTTAACAAGAAAATAAAATACCAAGCACATTTTTTCCAGTTTTGAATTTTCCAGCAAGAGTTGATGAAATCAAACAGGGTATTAAAGTAAAACCCAGGAAAACTCAACTTTTCCAGTTGTCTGACTGGTTTCTTTTTAGTCACCTTGAGTTCAATTCCTTATTAGCTGAGGACAACATGACGGTCAAAGACAGATTTTCGCTGCTCTTGAACTTGAAGCTTCCAGCGCTGCTGGGCATACTCTACCTTGTTCAGCACATTGGCTCGACTGCGGGAGCGAGCCAGCACATCGTGAGCATTTGCAAAAGGTTGGTGATCCTGAAAAGTCCAAGAATGGAGAACATCAGGGATGGCATGATCAGTGTAAGTACATGAACATGTGTGTGTGTGTGTGTGTGTGTGTGCGCGTGCGTGCGCGCATGCACACACACACACACACACACACACGCCAGTTATCTAGCCAGAGATATAGGAACAGGAGCAGTTGCCAAGTACTCCTCAACTGCCAGCAGTGGGATGAACTCAACTGCAGAAACAGGTGGCCCAGGAGGACAGTAATGAGGAGGAATCTGTGAAATGTTCTCATGAGTCACCATTTCCAAAGACATTTCCCTTAAGGAGCAGAACCAAGATAAACAGTGGTCATTCAAGTCAAAGAGAAGCCTTCCAAGACCAGTAAGGGTAAGCAAATCTATTTTCATGCTAATATCTACATGTTACAGGTATGGAAACTAACTCCAACTGTATTAAAATTATTTATGTGCCAGCTTGGGGCCATATTCACCCTGGGAGATGAGTGGACAGGATCTTATCTTGGTTGGTTTTAATCTTTCCCTGCACCCTCAACATTTACACCAAATACACTTGTTTCCTAAAGCTTTCTAATTTCCCCCTTCCCCAACCTGTGATGGAGAGACAAAATTCAAGGGTTATAAGTACTCTCTATTACCAAGGAATTATTACTATTAAAATGGAAGCTTTCTATTTAGTAGAGACATGAACCTTTCATTGGTGAGCATCCAGTAGCTTCCATATTAAATGCTGCCTTAGGAAAGGATAGAGGCTATTGAAAGGGTTACCCAGCTATCTGTGTAGAAAACCAACCTATCCTGGTCAAAGTAAACCAATGCCTCTGGATGTTTGTAGTCATTACACAGGAAACCACCATGCTAATCTATCTATGAATGTGATGTAAACACAGCTGTTTAAATAACAAAAAAAGCTTTCAATATTAATTTATTGCTTTTGTTTGCCTTTTCCTTAATGTCTTTTTCCAGAATCCTGGGTTAGCAAAGCTTCTAATGTTCCAATATAGGATCCAACTTACAAGTCATAACTTTTTTTTTTTTTTGAGATTTTTTTTTTATTGGAATAGCATTGATTCTGTATATTGCTTTTTGGTAGGATGGACATTTTAATAATGTTAATTCTTCCAATCCATGAGCAGGGGATGTCTTTTCATTTTTTGTGTCTTCTATTTCTTTTAACAGTGTTTTATAGTTTCTTTTTCTTTCTTTCTTTCTTTTTTTATACAAGCACTGGGTACAGTCAGAAGCGCGGGAGGGTGAGAGAATTCACCAGAGTCAGAGTGGAGAGCAGAGCAGGCAGACTGACGAAATACACTGCTGAGGGGAGCAGCGGGCAGCAGGAGAGGTCTGCGCGCCATGTGGGACCCTCACCCAGTGGCCAGGGATCAAACCATCGCTGCAGAGGCTGCGGGCAGCTTTGCAACCCAGCGCTCAACCGCTGCGCCACCGGGGAGGCCCACAAGTCATAACTCTTAAACTATACTTTGCCTCTTGGAGAGAAACAATGTTTTGCTGTACATGTTTTTAAAAGCAATGTTATATACACAGTTCAGAAATTGGCATGTCTTTGTAAAGCTACATACAACCATAAAACTCTTTATACTACTATGACTGTATGCTTTTTTTACAGCAAGACTTTTACACAATGTCTGCATTTCAATGACACCAAAGAGTTTTCTATAAAGAATCTTCCCCTGCTCCCTTTACCAAAATTCCTTCAACTTTCACTTAATTTATGTAAAGACTGCAGAAACCTCAGTTATTGCTTTTATTTTCAACCTTGTAAATGAAAGTAATAAACACAATTCCATAAAGTTAAAAGTGTTTCAAAGACGTAAGAAAGAAGGCAGGAAGGAAGAAGGTGGCAAAGTTGTTGGATGACTTATTTCCACTGACGAAATAAGTAGACCCAAGGTCACTTAACAAATCAGCACTAACCCTAAATCTTAGTTCACCTAACCTTGTCTTGGTGTTGTATCATCTCAACATACTGACTTTTGTTCTGGTAGATTAAAATGACACTACAGGAATATGGTGCTTCAATGAACTTGTATATAAAATATTATTACTTTTTTGTTATTATGTTTTTACATAAACAACACTGGGAAAAAGAATGTTCTTTATCAGCAAAGCACCTCTCAATTTCATGGTCCTGTTAGCTACTTACTCTTCAAGGGAGGGGGAGGAAAATCTTCATAAGAAATACATTTAAAGGACTAAACAAACCAGTTAATCCTTTTGGTTCTCCACCTATCAAAACAAGATTGAACTAGCTACTCGTGGTTATGGATGCTGGGAGAATGCAAACAGAGATTTACCCTTTTTATATGTTTGTCCTTTTTACACCTGATAAAATTACAATAAATACAAAATATGTTTTAATGTGATGCTTTGAAAATAGCAATGATGTGTCATTGATATATGATACAGTAAATATTGTGGCTACTTGCAGTGAGCTTCTTAACTATTTGTACTAGCTCCCACTTGATTTAAAATGCTCTCTATTCTGAACAAAACTGGTAAAAATGACAACAGGATTTTGTTCAGAATTTTTTTTTTTTTTAACAGAACAGGCAGGGTAACTGAAATACACTGCTGAGGGGAGCAGCGGACAAGACAGGAGAGGTCTGCTGCGCCATATGGGCAGCTCTCAGGCTGGCCAGGGATACAACTCGTGCTATAGAGGCTGCGGATAGCTTCACAGTGTGGTGCTTTAACCCCTTATGCCATCAGAGAGGCCCTGTTGAGAATTGTTTTTAAACACAACTTGGATAAGCAACAATTGTAGGTATTTAAATTTAGCCTCTTTTTGTATATAGTTGTTACCATAAATTCTTAGCTCTCTCTCTCTGCCCAGACTCAGTTTATGAGCTAGGCTCCTTAGAGACAGTCTTCAAATGGTCAACACATAGAGAATCAATCCCTGGTGAGCAAAATGGTTACTAAGCACATGACCCCATCAATCACATGCTTTTCCTACATGTTTCCATTTATACATTTGTGCATCCGTTTCTCTAATGTAATGTGTGTGCATTACATTAATATTGTCTATTCTTAAAATCAGAAACCACTAATTTAATGTAAAGGATGTGGTTTATGTCAGACTTTCTTTTATCCAAAAGAGATGAAACGTTTATATGGTCTTGGGTACACAGTATTTTCACGTTAGTAGTTCTTAGCTGGGGGTGATTTTGCTCCCTCCAGGGACATATTACAACATCTATGGACAATTTTGATTGATTGTCGTATCAGAATGGATGATGCTACTGGCATCTAGTGGGTAGAGGTCAGGGATGCTGCTATTTATCTTAAAATAAACAGGACAGCTTCCCACAATAAAAAGTCTGAGTCCTATGTGAAACAAAATTAACATGGGAATGGTATTTGAGACTCTAATGCTTCTGGTACATTACTGGGACAGTAGTCCCAGTTCTCATGCCATTAGCCCCATTATGCCTGATTTTTTATCACATCTAATCTCTACTCTTGACCTTCCAGTCTATCAGTCTCCTGGAATTCTTCAAAAAGAAACAGGCATTTCTTACATCATTAAAAATAAAAGAGGACTAGTATTAGTCATTTGCTTTAAATGTCTGTTTCTGTTCTATTCAGTTGTAGTATCCAGCACAGTATATAATATAGAAGTTACTCATTATGTGTGGGTTGAATTGATAAAAGAAGCAAGGGGAAAGGGCAAGAAGAAGTATTTCTGTGAAAGTTCTTGACAAAAGAAAAATGAAATCTTGTCCAAATAAGTCAAGTGTCATAACTGATACTTATGAGACAATAGTGTATTGATCAAAAAGCAGGCTGTTTGTAATTTTAACTCAAACCATGCAGTCAGGATTCCCTTTACCATCTTTTACCAACAGGTCCATAAGCCATCCCAGAGTAAAAGGACTTACGACGGGTTGGCAAAGGCTCATTATGGTTTTAGCTTTTGGAATTGGTTCTTGAAACTCTACTGAATTTAATCCATTTTAAGGAACATAGTCCAATAAAGTAATCCAAAATAAAAATTAACTTCTAATATATAGGTATGTATGTATGTATGTATGTATACATATCTAAGATATATATATATATATACACACACACACACACATGCCCAAACATGACCATGACAAAACAAACAATATAACTGTCTATACTATACTAAATAATACACTTGAGAACTATATTGATGTCTACACATTTTTAAATGAAACAATGTTAACACAGAAAAGGAGAACACAGAAAAAATTATACATTAGTAGTACCACTATATGTATAAATAAAATGTATTTTAAAGGTAGAAAAGAGAATCTGAATTGATGCTTTTATTTTTCTCTAAAGAACAGTTATTCTGTTTGTTTTGTTTTTTAGAAGGGGGAAAAACAGGAAATAGAAAACACCAGCAGGTAATCAAGTCGTTCTTTATTGGAAAACAAAACATTATAGTCTTCACATTTGCCTTCACTAATGCCCCTTTGCCTTCTAAAATAATTTGGTGATGCTGATCGGAAATGTGTTCAGACAGGAGCATGGAGATAAAACTGTCTTGGATGCTTTTTTCAAATTAAACAGGGCAAGGAAATAAAAATTGTACCCTGGTACTGAGGGCAAAATCTTGTATAGGATGCTCACCAAGGAGCATAGGTTTAAATTACCGTATTTACCACTGTACAGGGCAATTTCCTCATACAGAGACACCTACTAAAATTACAACTGCCTTTAGTTTCCCTAATTGAGCAGGTCCAGCAAATATGTGAGCATTTTTCACTTGCACTTTACCTTAGATGACGAGAGAGACTGGTCATGAGCAGCTAGGCAGGCTGAGAACTTACCCCAACATCATCGTCACTCTGTATCAATTGTGAGTGTCCAAAGAGGCGTCTCTTCAGAATGGGCTCAACCAGAGTAAGATACACCATGTACAGAAGTAGAAGGCCCAAAATGGAGAGATAAATTATAATGGTAACCTAGAGGAAATGGAATGTAAGTTACATCTCTGTTCAAGCCAAGAATTTTGTGTAACAATAAAACTACAGTTGAAGATTGATCTGTCTGCTAAGCATATGGGGTTCTGATGCAAACCAGATTCCAACATAAGAAACAAACTCAATGCCATATTGAAGTATTAGTTTAAAAAAATAAAGGAGGTAAGAAAGTATTATGTCTCTAGGATTTTTTTTCAAACTCTACCTTCACCTACTGCTAATCACTTGTCACCACTGCTGGCACAGCAGTTCTCTCTTCTTTTTTTTTTCACCTGAATATGGTGTCCTAGATTCAGCAGCACTGCTATCAACACAACATACAGAACTCAAAGGTACAATGTAATTCAGATGAATTTCAACAGAATAGTTTCTTTGATCAATTTAGATATACAAAAATACTTTTTAGGCCCATGATTTTTTTAAAAGATCTTAATTTGTGTGCCATCAAAAGGCACAATGTGATACCTCCCAAATGCTGGGAAGGTTATGGAAAAACTGAGCCCTCATACATTGCTGGTGGTAATGTAAAATGGTGCCACCGCTTTGGAAAATAATTCGGCAAGTGTCTCAAAAAGTTAGACATAAACTTGCCTCTCTAAGGAGTTTTTCTGAGAGGAAGAAAAACACATATCCACACAAGGACTTGTATGCAGATATTCATGATTGTATTTATTCATAATAATAAAAATCTGGAAGTAATCAAATATCCATCATCTGATGAAAAGATAAACAAAACAAGGTCTATTCCTATAATAGAATGCTATCAATAAAAAGGAATTGAATTTTGATACCTGTTAGAACATGGATGGACCTCAGAAATACTACATCAAGTGAAAGAACAAATAATAAGAGCCCATATATTATAAGATTCCATTTATATGAAATGTCCAGATCTACAGACACACAAAGCTGGGGCTTTGTCTGGGGCTGAGGGTAGGAATAGGATTAACAGTAAATGGGCATGATGGGTTGATGGGAATTTTAAAAATTGGTTTAAATTTTCTAAAATTTATAAAATTGTACACTAAAAAAATGTGACTTTTAGGATATCTAAATTATACATCAAAAACGTTAAAAATAAAATAGTACAAAGAGCATTTCTCTACAGAACAGCACCCTGCTGCTGCAGAGCTCTCACAGGCTCAATCACAACAAATATCTTTAAAACTGTTATAACTGACCACCATAGATTCCCCTTGAGGCCATTTGCAGAAAGGAATAGGAAGCACCATATAGAAAAAATTGGGGTGAAGAAATGTACAATGAAGTAGCTGAACTCATTAGAGGTTCAAGTGGTGATTGGAGTTATCTATATTCCATTTCCTATAGGAAATAAAGAAAGAAAAACTTTGAATCCAGAAATGATGTTTCTAGAATACAGCAGTTACTAATACATAATTTTTTTCTAAGGGCTGGGAGGGCAGGAAGAAGAGGGCCTAATCATGCTTCTCTCTCCTTATCCTTAGGCATACAAGGCCCACAGGGAAGCTGGGCTCTCTCTCTGATATGCTAATTACACACAGGGCCTTTTTGTGCCATTTCACAGCTCACCCCTTACTGTATCCTGATTAATCTACAAAGCATCTCAATGAGACAGGTGGAGAACAGGTCCACCATTCCTTTGGGGTTATCTTAGGGGTGTGGAGGGAGGGTTAAGGAGGTGGTGGGGGAGGCCAGAACAGTAGTTTAGGTAACTAAAATAGACCTCAGGTGTCTAAAATTTTCTTTCCTGTCTAGATACCATCAAGAACTATTCCAGAAGCAGGAGAGATGGAAATTTTTTTACCTTGATAGTAACTGAGCTTCTTTCCTCATATTTGCATTCACAGCGTAGACAGTATGCCTCCACATCAGGCCCCCGCACTGGCATTGGCTCTACAACATGAAGACAGTCACTGAAAAAGAAAAAAAAAAGAAAAAAGCTATTAAGCTTGGCTAGACTTCCTAATACGCTGAACAAAACATTCCTAAAATCCAGAATAATCACTGAACTTAACCAATAAAAGAATATAAGGAACAAAAAATCAGCGAGGGAAGTGAAATCATTTCCACCTCTCAACATTTGCACTTTGGGAAGATTTAACAGTCTAAGAAACCATAAAAAACACACATATATAGTAGCTCTCTATTTTCAAAGGTGCTACTGTTAACTGTTAAGAACGTACCTGAAAAAGCCCAGATAGGATTGAAAATTAATTAGCAGATCAAGCCACATTTAGATTTGTTCAGTTACTAAGAAAAGTGAGATGATCTTTTTTGTAAATTAGCTAACATCATTCTTAATTGCCACAGTGTGGTACACTGGCTAATCACACTTAATAGTTGGTAAATTCTAAAACTCTGAAAACTGAACACTTAAAACAAGTAATAAACAATTACATTTCTTAATGAGTAAATATCTTTTGAAAAGGATGGGCAAATAGCATTAGGACAACAAAACTATTTTAAAATAAAACTTATACTTTGAAGAAGGTGGTTAAAAATGATAAAAGGCTGAATGCTTTTGTTACTGAATATTATTTATTTTTCCCTCACTTTCCAGATTACTTATTTATGATTTTTGACCAAAAAAAAGGCAAATCTATCCAAAAAAATCTACTTGCCAGAAATCTGTCAATTCTAGAAAATAATCAGATTATTGTTCTCCCTAGTTATGAAGAGCCTACTCTGATCACCATCAGAAAGAGCAGGCAAAGCTTTCCTGTTCTCCTATGAGCTGTCGGGGAATTCTCTCCTCTTTTGTCATTTCTTCCTTAGGCATTTCTGGTTGCCCCAAGAGCTCTACTGTAACACCCTGTCCCACTCCAAGCATCCTTCTTGGGGGCATCCAATGCTCTATGCTGATTCCTTCATTTTTGTCCTGTCAAAATTTACTTTTCACATTCTGTTCCCTCTGATCTGTGACATAAGGAAGAATACCCAAAATGGTATAAATGATAAAAGTATAATCATTTATCATTAATAGACAATTTAATTTTGACAAAGGTAATGGGAAAAAAAACCCTCTACTGGTAGAATTTCAAATTCAACTCACAACATATAAGTGTGTGATATTTGGTCCAAACATATAGAAGATCAGGCGTGTAATCTAGCTGGATGCTCAGCATAAAATGGGCAGAGGAAGCTAAAAGTATCTACCTCAGAATCACAGAGGTCATCCAACTCAACAATCTCTGAGAGGCCAGTTGCACAAGGTCAGAGTAAATTAGGAGCTGCAGAGACCCAGAAGTCAAGTACCCTTGTATTTTTTTGAATCTCAAAAAAATGAAACTTATCTCCTATTTAGTTTCCTATTTTAGCTTCAGAAGCCTTTTAAAAAAAAATTTATTTATTTATACAAGAACTGGGGTACAGGCCAGAGGCGCAGGAGGATGAGAGAATTCACCAGAGACAGAGCAGAGAGCAGAACAGGCAGACGAAAGCACTGCTGAGGAGAGCAGTGGGTGAGGCAGGAGAGGTCTGCCGTGCCATATGAGTATATCCCTGGCTGGCTGGGAATCGAACCCATGCTGCAGAGGCTGCGGGCAACTTCACAGCACAGTGCTCAATCCGCTGCGCCTCTGGGGAGGCCTTAGCTTCAGAAGCCTTTTAGTAATGATATCTAAGAATTACTTGGGACTCTTAAGTGCTAAGTACTGAGTGTTTCTTTGAAGTAAAAATGCAGTTAAGTAACAAAGAGATATTCAGTGATGTGCAAAAATTTGTGCAAGATGGAGAGGAAGAAAAGTCAGTTCTGGTTGGCCAGTCATTAAATAGAAACCATATCTAGAACTGAACTTAAGGAACTAGGCAACACCTCCCACTAGTGCCAAAATGAGGACATAACAGCTAGACCTCTAGGATGGGTTCAAAAAAGGATTGAATCACTTTACAAGTCTTTCCAATTAAAATAAATCCCTTTATGATTTAATATTCATTATGATGGCAGCCAATTAGACCATGTGGGTAGGGTATCTGAATAACTGTTAGCATATGAGCCAATCATGGCATATTTATCACTTTGAGGATCTTTTGTCACATGGTCCATTTTTTTTTTTAGTATTGCTTTTCAGTCCTCCTGAATCCTTTCATACAAATGGTTACTGTTGGTAAAAATATTATTCTAAACTGTAACCATGTATCCTAGAGCGAATATTAAAAAGAAAATTTCAATTAAACTGAAACAAGAAATATAAAAAAGCACGATGGTGTAAAAGTTAGTGAATTGGTATGAAAATTTGGTTTTAACCACCCACATCATTAGCAAACTCTAAGTGATTCTGAAATAACCTTTTCCAATTTAAGTTACTTTACTTATTTTTAATTACATCTTTTTAATGTCAATAGAGACAAAATTCTCTAATATTTTTGTTGTTATAATATAAAAATTAGCTTTATATAAGCCTAATTATGTGCCAAAAATTTCAAATTATGCCATCTTAGAATGAATTATGAAATATCAATGAGTATTACTGGGCTCGCATGACAATATTTTCACTATATTATCTCATCTATAGAATGGATTAGTATTATAAAGCAGGGTTCGTCTATATAAGCTTTAAACCATACTCAGGACATAAACCAGAGAACTCAAACCTTTTCTTAGGTCAGCCAGCATAAATCAACAGAGAACTAAAAACAACAACTGTACAAAATAGAAGGCCAGAAGGTAAATATATATATATATATATATATATATATATATAAAGCCATATACATATTGGAGACCTTGCAGAGTCATAATATCCTGATTAATCACAATTTCTCTACCTTTCTAAACAAAACTAGTTAAAAACTTTCAGTGACACGTGGGTGAGTCGATCCTCAGTAAAAGGCTTAGCTACAAAGAGGAAATAAAGGGGAGAGGGAAGAAAAATCCCAAATAAGCCTTATTTTCAAAGCTCCCTATTTTGACACATGATGAATGACGTATGGTTCTGTCTGAAGCTAGAATAACTACTACTTAGTAGTACTAAAAGATTCATGCTAAACACTTTACAATGAGTTCATTTGCTACTCAAATAACAGACATCATATTCTATCACTGAATAAACTGATTGTAAGTATTCAATATATTTTGAAAATTTATAGAAGTAACTTAAAAACTTATTTGTGCTTTCTTGTATCATATAAAGTAACTGATATAAAACTATAAAAATATAGCTAAATTATTTTGTAATATGCAACAACTTCAATCGGAACACAAAACTCACAATGTTTTCAAGAACATATTATCAAATGTCAGATTGAACATAAATGCATGTCATGGGAAGAACAGACAACAGCCTCACAGAAATTAAATCAGTTCAAAAGTTACCTTTTCTTTTTTAAAGTTAGCTTGGACTATCATAATTGAATGAATTTAATTTTGCTTATAAACTTTCGCTGGCTACTTAGCTGTGAAATCATGTACATGTGAAAGTATATAGTTTTTGGAACAACTTTTCCTTATAGGCCTATCCTGACAAACTTTCACTGTGTTTACAAACCATAAAACACCACAATTTCACCGGAAAGATCCCATCCACACTGGCAGAAAATAATAGCTTCTCAACGTTTCATGACACATGTAGGGGAAAAATGCCATTTGCAGGGTCCACTGGTATAGGAAAGATTGCTAACTACATCACAGACCTGCCTGATTTACCTCAAGTGTTGAAGGGATCAATAACTTGATATACCCATAGCCTACATGGCACACCAAGTGGGAAACTCAGACGTACGCGGGTCATTCCCATTCCTTGCCAAGATTTCTGACACTTTTAAACAGCCTCCTTAAAAAGCTACTAGAAATAAAAAACCAGTATAGCTACAAAACCAACATACACAATTTTGTTGCTTTGCTACATTCAAATAACAAACTAGAAGAAATTAAGAAAAAATCCCATTTATAGTAGCATCAAAAAACATTGAGTATCTAGGAATAAACCTAACAAAGGAGGTGAAAGAACAATTTAATGACAACATGTAGAAAAATGAAACTAGACTATTCTCTCACAGCAAACACAAAAACTAACTCAAAATGGATAAAAGTTGGATGTAAGACCAGATATCATAGATCAGAAGAAAACATAAACAAAACACTCTAAAACATTGGCTTCATGGATGTCTCTGGTGACTTGCTTCTAATGGCAAGAAAAACAAAAGCAACAATAAATGAATGGGACAACATCAAACTAAAAAGCTTCCACAGAACAAAAGAAACTATCATTAAAATGAAAAGACATTCTACAAAATGGAAGATAATATTTGCACATGATACATCCAATAAGGGACTACTGTTCAAGATCTACAAAGTACTCAGGCAACTCAACAGAAAGAAAATAAAGAATCTAACCAAATAATGGGTAGAAGAGTTAAACAGACATTTCTCCAAAAAAGATATATAGATGGACAACAGGAACATGAAAAAATGTGCAAAATCATGCATCATCGGGGAAACTCAAATTGAACCACACCTCACACCTGTGAGAATTGCCCATATCAAAAAAACCAGATACAACAAATGTTGGCAACGATAGGGAGAAAAAGAAGACTTCATATACTGTTGATGGGAATGTAGACTGGTCCAGCCCCGATAGAACACAATATGGTTGTTCCTTAAAATACTAAAAATAGGGCCTCCCTGGTGGCGCAAGGGGTTAAGACACAACCTATGAAGCTAACCGCAGCCACTGTAAGCACGAGTTCAATCCCTGGCCAGGTAGCTACCCACATGGCACAGAAGACCTCTCCTGACTCACCTGCTGCTCCCCTCAGCAGTGTACTTCAGGCAATCTGCCTGTTCTGTTCTCCACTCTATCTCTGGTGAATCCTCTCACTCCCCCACCCCGAACTAGTGGCCTGTACCCCAGCTCTTGTATGCATAAAAATAAAATAAATCTTTAAAAGAATATAATAAAAATAGTTCTACCATGTGATCCAGAAATTCTACTCCTTGGTACCTACCTGAACAATGCAAAACACTAATTCAAAAGGATATATGCACTCCTGTGTTCATTGAAGCACTATATATAATAGCCAAGTTATGGAAACAACCTAAAACCCCAATAACAGAGGAGTGGATTAAAAATATGTGGTACATAAACACGATGGAATACTATTCACCTATACAAAAATGATGAACTCTTGCCATTTTTGACAACATGGCTGGAACTGGAAGGGGTTAGGCTAAGTGGAATAAGTCAGAAGCAGAAAAAAACAAATACCGGATGATTTCAATCATGTGGAATATAGAGAAACAAAACAAAGGAACTGACAAAACTTAACCAAAACAAACCCAGGAATATGACTACTTTGAGGCTACTAGAGAGGGAGGACTGGAGTAGAAAGCAAAGAGGAGAGACAGAGGAGACCCAATGGTCTATGGTAAAGGACTATGGGTGCTTTGGAGATGAGTGTGTTGTGGTACATACATCTGAAAAAGGGTATATTTAGTCCCCCAAATGATATACAGTTCAGTAAATAAACGTTACATTAATAAGATACAAATATCAAAAGTTAAAAAAAAAGTCATCTCCTATATTTGGCAATGTCAAACCAGTTGTAAAAATGATAACCCAGATAAATGAGACTTTCGTATCTTCCACTCACAAACTCAGCTCCATTCCTATTAATCCCCACCCAACATGGTGTTTATTGTCTGGCTATATTCCTTTAGGCTTACTTTGTGCATTTGGGACCTTAATCTCAGTTTTTCAAATGGAAATGGAATATGAAACTTTTGCTTAAAAATAAATACTTAAGGGCCTCCCCGGTGGCACAGCGGTTGAGCACTGGGTTGCAAAGCTGCCCTCAGCCTCTGCGGCACCGATTCCATCCCCGGCTGCTCCCTGGCCACTGGAGGAGGGTCCCGCATGGCGCGCAGACCTCTCCTGCCGCCCGCTGCTCCCCTCAGCAGTGTACTTCAGTCCTTCTGCCTGCTCTGCTCCCCGCTCTGGCTCTGGTGAATTCTCTCACCCTCCCATGCTTCTGACTGTACCCAGTGCTTGTATGTATAAATAAATAATAAATAAACAAATGAATAAATAAGCTTGCCTCTTTTTAAAAAAATAAATAAATACTTAAAACAATATACTGAATGAACATTCTGTACTAACAGTGACAACCACATAAAGAAATTTGACAGGATATGCAATAATCCAGAATACTTACCAATCTTTTTGGGATATGTTCTTATTATAAATATGCCCAGAATTTTCTTTATAGGGAGGACAAATACATTTACATCGCACATCTTCAAAATTCTGTAAACAAAAATGGAAACTTAGTATAGTTTGTTGACAAGTTATTACCAAGATTCTTTTTAACTGCGCCTTATATATTTTGCTAAACATCTTCTGGCATATTCTAAAATTGTTCATTTAAAACTTTAAATAACTCTGAGACACAAAATTTTAAGAGCCACATGTTCTTTTTTGGTGAAGTTAATGAATCATTATGAATCATTACATATCATATAAAATTATTTTGAAATAATACTTAATACATGATCTGTGACTTATTATCACATGATAAATTGTGCTAATGCCATCACCATTCACCTGCCAGTATAAAGTACAAATGGTATACAGCTATGCCTGCAAACAAGAATGCTGATTACAAAAGGATGGGGAAGAATCAAACTAAAAATTACTCATAAAAACCATTCTTCTGGGCCTCCCTGGTGAGCAGCGATTAAAGACACAGCACTATCAAGCTATCGCCAACCACTGCAACATGAGCTCGATCCCAGGCCAGGGAGCCGACCCACATGGCGCAACAGACTTCTCCTGTGGTGCCCATTGCTCCCCTCAGCAGTGTATTTCAGTAGATCCATCTCTGGTGAATCCTCTCATCCTGCCCTCCCCCCTCTGGCCTACACCCCTATTCTTGTATGCATAAATAAATAAATCTTAAAAAAAAAAAAAACCCAAAAACCATTCTTCTACCTAGTATCCTTCCACCCTTCAGTAGAAAGGCATTTATATGAATAAAAGGCCTCTAAAAACCTATGGAAGGGATAAATTTTTAGAGGGACTCAGTGACAATTATAAAGTACATAAGGAAAGTAGGTTGAGTCTACCTAAGCTGCCCGTGGAACTTTCTTATCCCTAGTAGACAGAGCAGTTAACTACAAATAAAATAAGTTTCAAGAGGTGGAGGGAGAGGAGAATAAATGTATGAACTGAAGGATAAAAGAGGCTTTCTCCACAAAGGGGTATCTGAGAAGACAGAATCTTTAGTCCTGAGAGGACCTGGTCCACTGCTCCTATGCATAGTGGTATGTCTGGCAGAGCCATTTACAATTCATTCACTCTTTCAGCAACCACTTAGGGAGCATTTGTGCTGCTCCAGACCTGGGCTAAATGAGGTGGCTTCATAAGCATAATACATGGTTCCTGCCTAGCTATAGGACACACCCTAGTAAAGGACACTGACAAATAAATATATGATAATAGCAAATCACATAAATTGATGATGGGAGATATGCAGAGGGTGCCATTAAAGACTTGAAATTCAGGAGACTTTTGGCGCTCCCTGTTTTTGGTAGGAAGTGGGAAGATTTCAAAAAGAACCCCTGACCAAAACCCTTGAACTGTCTGCCTATACCCTGTCGTTCCCAGTGCCTGTTTAAAGTTATTACAGATTAAGGCTCCTATTTTTAAAAAATATAAACGTCATTCTGTTTTTCCATTACACTGATGTGAATTCCTTTTCTCCAATAATGAGCTAGCTCATCAAGGAGGAAACATAGTGTGTTTGGGGTCAGGGCAGGTGTGGAAGGTAAGGGGATGCCAGGAATTTAAGAACCACAACAGGGAACTAGAAGAGCCAAGAAATGGGACATGGGAGAAAGCCACAACCCCACCTCTCTGAATTTTGGGTTCCCGCCTGCCCTTACCCAACGAATCATCGGAAAGACAGAAGGTAAGAAAGGAGCTAAGAGGTCCTGGTCGTAATTAGATGAGGATATTAGGGTGAAGAGAGAGAGTCTGTAGGTCCTATTGGAAAGGAAGGCTGCCAGGAGGGGCAAATTCCCATAATGGGACGGGAATCCATTCAGTCTTCCCTAAGGGAAGACTTCCGGGAGATGAGGGTTTCCTAACATCTTGATTTGGGGGACCGGACCGGAAGGTCTGTGAGGTTAGTGGAGGGCTGCAGCAGGCTGTCCAAGCTTAAAGGTGGAAAGTTAAAGGCTCTGAGAGTTGGTAAGGTTGTAAAGTTCGGGGTGGGTGCTGTCGGAGCTGGGAAGGGAGACGTGAAGGACATGGAGGAGCTGCTGTCCCTACAGGTGGGCAGTGTCAGGGCCTGCTGGAGCTGGGGGCGGGGAATCAGGGCAGGAAAGAGAAGGGTACAGTCACGGCGGCAGGTGGGGCGGTGACTGTCCGACAGTCAGGGCTGGAAGGCGAGGGTGCTACCAGGCAATCGGAGGGTCTTGCTGGGGGGCTTTCCGGGCTGTGAAGCTAGAGGTCGGCTGTCAGGGCTAGGCGAGGAAAAGAGAGGGGGGTAGAGCGGGCTGACAGCCCAGATTCCATCAGGCCCGAGGTAGGGGAGGGACTCGGGTCTGGAGCGCAGGCTGGGCGAACTCACCTTGGCGGCGTCTGACAGCTGCGCCAGCAGCAGCACCGAGCACACCGCGTAGGACAGGCTGAGCCCGGAGCCCAGCCGAGCGCAGCCTCCCCACAGGGTCGCCATCGCCGCGAGACCAGGTGTCTCCACAGCCCGGAGCCCCCGAGACCCGCTCCCGGCTCGGGCTCCGGCTCGGGCTCCTCCGTCCGCACTTCCGCCTGGGCCTCGGCGTCACCGCCCGCGCCGGGTCAGCCGCGACGAGACTCCGCCCCGGAAGCGGTTCCCGGCGCGGGGGCCGGAGGCTGCGCGGTGGGGCGCCCGCCTGGCGGGCCCCGCCGAGCGCCGACGCTGGGGTCTTTCCTGAGCGCAGATGTGGCGCCCGAAGGCCCTCCCGCCCGCAGAGCGCCGGGCGAGCCCGGGGCGTCAGCTGGGGTCTCCGCGACCGCGCCGGCGGCAGGAGCGAGCCTCGTCCCCGGGAGCTGCGGTGAGGGCGGCCCGTCCCTGCCGGCGCGGGTCGGGCGGGGGCTTGGCGTGGACACGGGGCCAGACTGGCCCGGCCAGCGCCTTCCTGGGAAGCCCACGCCCTGCGATGGGGTCGTCTCCGCGCTTTGGGGGCTAACCCGGCGCTTGCGGGACGCGGCTGCTGGTGCCGTTTCTCACAGCCTCTGCGTGCTGCCCTCGGGGGTGCGACCTCCGCTGGGGGTTCCCGCCGGGACCCCGCCTGCAGCCGGGAACGGCCACAGCGGCGGTGCCGGCCGGGCTGGGCTGGTCTCTGGAAGGTACGGAGCTGAAGAAAGAACAGCTCTAGTAGCTTCTTCAGCCTAGGACTCTAGGAAGTTGGGGGGGTCATGGCGCTGTAATCCTACACGGCAAAATACAGATCTACTGATCTAACTTTTCAGTGCAGCTCATCCTACTCAGTAATTTAATGGAATCCTGGAGATGGTGAGTCCTAGGGCAAGTTAGGGGTAATTAGGCAGCTTCAGGGGCAGTGCAGGCAAGGACTTCAGGAGCGGTAAGGAAGGCTCCAGAGATAAGGGCAACAAATTCCAAAGGGGGCTAATCAAACACCCCCAGGACTAGGGAGGACAGGACATTCCAGAATAAGGATGATAAACAACAGTATGCTAAGATAAGGGCTGGGACACAGAGACTTCTGGGCACAGAGACATTAGGGCAGTGAGTGAGACCACCCAGAACTAACCAATCACAAAGAGACCGGTGGCGCTTTAGAAAAATTAGGGAAAGCAGGTATATATTCCTTGAGGCACCACTCCACTTCAGCTCTGTTGTCCTCCCTGGCCTGGCCGCAGCAGCCTGGGAGTCCCACTTTATTTCTGTTCCTTTTCCCCTTAATAAGCTTTTTCTTTCTCTAAGCAAATCTGCTTCTTTTCGCTTGCTTGCCTGAGTGTCAGCGAAGTTCCTGCTGCAGCTTCCTGAGCCACTAACCCGTGGTGGTCTCGTGGCCGGGACTCAGCGCTGCCTCTGCAGCCTGGGATCCGTTCCTGGCTGGGAGACTAGGTCTGAAAACCTAAAATTACAGTATAAATGGGATAATGTTTCCATTTAAAATATTTTTCAGTTAGAGGAGGAGGTCTGAAAACCTAAAATTACAGTATAAATGGGATAATGTTTCCAATTAAAATATTTTTCAGTTAGAGGAGGTGGGGGGGGGCGTGGAAAAAATGTGAGGCTAATCACAAACCAATGCGGATTTAGTGAATGATATTAGAATACTTCCTTTTTCTGGGCCTAAGTTCTTGGCTCACTGTGAGGGACTGAACTTTAATCTGTGGAGTTCTGCTCTCATGGAGTATCCGTGTTTCCTTAAACACATTTGCCAGACAGCCTACTCCTAGCTTGTGGCAATGTTTTAAGTAACCAATGGAATTTTTGTTTTTATCCTATGTGATTCTTGCTGATGCTAGAATCTAACAAAGGTGTGTCAAAGACATTTAGCTCCTTTCAGTCCCAAATGGCAAGTGGTGCCCAGTCCCAACCAAAACTATAGGCAGGTCTAGGCTTTTCACCAAGACCCTTCCAGACTGCCCTGTGAATATGCTGTCACATTAATGAATTTTCAAACCTTTATAGCAAGTGTTGTGCTGACCAGAGGTAATCTGGAAACACCTGGAGTCAGAGGTATCTGTGAGGCACTTCGAATCAGTGGTTGCTAAAAAACTGAGTAGCAAGTTTGGGATTATCTAGGTGTGGCATCTAAAGGGAGTGCTCACTCTTTGGGTGAAACATCATAGGCCTCCTCTTTCTTTTTCACAATGTTCTAGGAACACTTCGAGGAAATATATAGTAATTCATTAGTTTGATGGGCCTCGTCTGTTTAATGGACAAACACCAAGTACACTCAATCTGGGCAGAATTTTAGAGTTAAGCTGTCTAATACAGTAGCCTGTAACCACATGTGGCAATTAAGCCATTGCAATGTAGCTAGTCTGAATTGAGATATGCTCTAAGTGCAAAACATATCCTGGATTTCAAAACCCCAAAATATCTCAATAATGTTTGTTTTTTTTTTCAAGGTTTAGTTATTTTTTACATTGAAGTACATTGCATTGTGTAAGTTTTCAAGTGTGCAGTGTTTTTATATTAAGGTTGAAACATTTTGGATACATTGGCTTAAATAAAATATATTAAAATAATTTTGATTGTTTCTTTTCACCTTCTTAAATGTGGCCAGTAGAAAACTTACTATTTATATGCAACATCAATGCTATAGAATATAGAATGTGGTTGCCTTGAGTGGAGTGTGACCATGAGATCATCACCTAGTTGAATGAGACTGAAGATGCAAGCCTGGGTAAGGGGAGGGGTCACGGGGAGAAACCCACACAGCTAGAGCCAAGAGTTTGGGGAAGGTATATATTCACCAAAAAAAAGAAAAGTAACTTTAGATGATACAATAAAATTGGAAGGGTCAGTTCCTCTTGTTCTGCCTTGCTCACACCTAGCCAACTCTTACTTTTCTTAGGTTAGGGACTTTGTATACTAGAAAGCATTTCCTGACTTAAGTGCACACCCATCTGTGTGCAGATCTCTTTACTAACTCCATTATAATAAAAGTTTTTCGTATTTGCTTCTGTATTTCCAACTTGTACCAAAATATTGTGAGCTCTTCAGGAGCAGAGGCCTTTTTTTCTTTTTGTAGAGACTAGGGAAAGGGGGAATGGGAGAGATTTTGGTCAGTCTCTAAGAATCAGGTACCTATTTAAATCACTACTTGAGGGCCTCCCTAGTGGTGCAACAGTTGAGCGCTGTGTTGCGAAGCTGCCCGCAGCCTCTGCAGCGCCGGTTCGATCCCCGGCTGCTCCCAGCTACCAGAGGAGGGTCCCACATGGCGCGCAGACCTCTCCTGCCGCCCGCTGCTCCCCTCAGCAGTGTACTTCGGTCCTTCTGCCTGCTCTACTCTCCCCTCTGGCTCTGGTGAATTCTCTCACCCTCCCGCGCTTCTGACTGTACCCAGTGCTTGTATAAATAAATAAAAAGATAGATAGATAGATAGATAGATAGATAAATGAATAAATCACTACTTGATTCCATTCTGATGTGAGGGCCAATGCTGAGATGTTCAAAGTGCAGATGGGATCTGGAGTACCAGAGTAGGCAGTACAGGGGTGATTTCTGACCTACAGTTGTCCTGAACTTCAGGTCATTATTAGAGTTGTTCTGTTTATAAGCAAGACTAGCCTTAGTACCTAATTTCTTCCCTTCCTTTCTTTTTACTTCCTTGTGACTGTTTACCTACTTCATTCCTCCTAAGGAGTGACAAAGGCCCAGGTGTACCCTTCCACCTGGCCTGGGCCCTCTCTGTGAGGTCTGGTGGGGGATGGTCAGGTGAATAAGAGCCTTCTCTATATTTAAGTGTGGAAAGCAGAAGGTTAGGAAGCAGAAGTGACAATTTATGTATCTGGGACAAATGTATTTGGTATCAAGGTTTTGCCAGTTCTCTCTGCAGTTCCCTCACCCCCCTTCTCCCTCCAGTGACTAAATAGCTATCTGATGTCCCTTTCTTATTTTCCAACCCCATTCTTTCTGATCTACCCAGCATTTTGCTGGGCCACAGCAGTCCAGGTGAACAAATAGAGTCATGTATAGCATCAGTGATGATAGTTTACTTGGACTGTGCCTCTAGTGGTTCCGATAGGATGCTCTCCCCTGAGGCAGGGCCCCCTAAATTATTAAACCTAGACCTGCTGAAGGGCATTGGGTACAGTTTGCCTCATACCCCACTTAGGCTGGCTCCTGCTGTGGTTCCTTGGAGGCTTCCATCCCAGGAACCTTCCCTGACCTCAATGCAGGTCCAGTCTAGGCAAGGGCCAGGTTTTTACTTTTTGTATTAGGCTCCAGGATATTGAAAATGCACCAATTTGTTTGGAGCTTTACCAGCACTAATCAAACAGCTGGGATTGGTGTCTCTTCCTCACCTCCTGAGTTATACAAAACTGGGATTGTAAATGGACCAGTCTGAGTGGAACACTTATGGGTGCCAATCAATTAAAAAGGCCAATCAAGTTCAAAAGGTGGGCACCCTGGAGAGCATATAAGCCAGGCCCCAACCAGCTTGAGAAAAGAAGAGAGAGTAGGAGAGTTGAAGAGGCAGTTGGAGAGTCAGTGAGATTTGTCTGGAAGACCTTTGTACTGAATGCAGCATTGGCCCTGTGCTAGGTGTCCCTAAAAGAGCTGGTTGCTGTTGGCTTTAGGCCTAGCATAGCTGTAACACTGGTCCCTGCCCCTGTTAGGTTCGACACCAATCCCTGGTGCTGTTGCCTTTGGTGCTAACTTTCCAGTGTCCAATGCTGCCTGGCCCAGCCTTTGGATTGCTGTTGGTGACTGCTGTGGTACCACTTCGCAGAGAGATTTTCACAGAGACCCTTGCGACCTTCAAACCATTGCTATTGCGTCTGGCCCTGCCTCTAACACTTTCCTCTCTCCCAACTTCTCCATCTCTCTCCCCTTTGTAAATAAACCCTGTTTTAGAATCCTGAACCGGTTGCAACCCTACCCCCAAGTTCTTCCAGTTTTTTCTGAGCTTAGCTGGGAATATGTAAGTTCTCTCCTTTACCATGTGCATTGCCAGGATGTTCCTACTTGGCCTCCTTTAGTGAGATTTTCTGCCCTCTGCTACCTATAAAGCCATGTTAAACTGGCCATGCCACCACTTGCTAATCCCCACCATAATAACAACTATAT